AAGCTATGGATTTGTATTCAAGTGTATGTTTTCTATAAGGATGCACTCCAGTTACATAACAAGAGTTTTAAACGTTATTCCATGTTAGTTGGAAAAGAAATATTAAAGGCGTATAAGTTATGGGATACCAATTATCTAATTGACCGTGGCTTCGCCATTTTAGCAATAATTATAATTTTTTGGTTAAAATTTATTTAATGGATCAAACCAATAAAAATAATGTTTTCTTACCTAAAATAAGGGTATGTTATGATCATATTACTAGAAAAAAAAGTCAAAATACTTTTTTAAAGAGTCACTTACTGTTGACTTGCCTTTAATTCATAACTGTGATTATGGACCTAAATTTAAATAAATAATTCGTTTTTAGGACTCAACATGAGGATAATTCTACGCATATCAAGTCTCAAATCTTAGAAACATTCCATTCTTTACCAAGGTGACAAAAGTCCGAGGGTGTAAAGAAACTATAGATAGAGTGTCCATCCAATTGGAGCCAATGGCCTTCCAATGAATGAGTTTTTCAGTCAAGGTGCTTAATTATCTAATATTTACCAATTACAATAGTCAATGAAATAATTTTAAAAATTGAAATGTTTATGATATTATTGTATAAATTGAAATGTTTAATAAATCAAAAATAAAAGTTGACGGTGCTACGATGTTTAAATTAAAAAAATTCAAAGTTTAATTTATTATATCCTGCCAAGAGTTTTAAATTACACTATTGTGTTGTCTAGGCATTCATGCCGCCTAGTTATTAAGTACAAGGATAAGTACTTTATGTTTGCTTAAGATCGGAGTATTTAGAAATCGTTTCTCGCACGATAAACAAACGTTATGAATAGACATAATTAGACTCCAACGTTATCTTGACCCGAACATCATCCTTTTGTTTTTCTATATGATATGCAAAGAGAAATAAAAGACATTGTTTGTGTAATAGAATTGAAATTGGCTTATGTAAATTAGAAAAAATTATTGCTCGGAAATTCCATGAATCAAAGGCATATTCTCTTCTTGTCAAAAAAAAAAATGCATATTTTCCTTTCATTTTCATAATCCTGATTCATTAATCGTACATCTATTTTGTTTGGTTGTGATTATTCATTTATCATATTATCTTGTAAAAAATTTCGCCACTCGCTCATTACTAGCTATTTGAAGGATGTACAAATTTTTAATAATTACGGAATTAAAATTCTATTGTGCAAAATTTTGTTCAATCTTCGCCAACTGTTATTAAAAGTATTGTGGATAAGGTGTTTAATTTGCGATCATTAAATCCAAATTCCTATTTAAATTTAATTTTTTGAATTAAAATAATGATTATATATATATTGCTATTAAGATATTATATTAATATGATAAAACAAAACATTTTAACAGGATTTTATTGTTTATTTTTTAAAAAGATACAACAGTAATTTTTTTGAAGAAGAAAAAAATAAAAGTAATTTATTTTTGATTCATTACATAATTTTTTAATTGTAATCTTAATTTTAATTAAATAATTAAGAAATTAATATTATGTATTAAATAAGTTATATATTAAATGCCGGTTAAGATAAATTTTTAAAATTTTTAATGTTAGTTGGTTTGTTTAAAAAAAAAAATAATTTAATTTTTATTTGTTATATTATGATTCTACCATATTAACTTACCATATTAATATGACATAATATAAATATGATGTACACTTTTGAATAAATATTTAAAAATAAAATATTTAATTAGTTAATTGAACTTTTGTAATCAAACTAGTGGCTGGCTAGTCATGTCCTATGCCAGGCTTGGACCACTGCTTCAAATAGGCCAATCACTCCCATTTCCAAAACGCATTGGCATGTTCCCACACCAATGTTTTTATGAAATCTTTGCTCTTAGCGTCCATACAAACTTTTGGGAAATCACTACTTTATCCCACACAACTATTATATTTTTTTATTTTTGGCCCCTATGCACAATAGAAGCAGTTAAAATGTCTAAATTTTCCAATAATAAACAAACACATGCAAATTTATTTATGTTGAATCCCAATTTTCACAAATAAAGTTAATTTAAAAATTTATTTATTTTTTACTAATTCAACGCTTGATGGATACAAGTTTATTTAATTTTAAAAAATTATTTATGTTATATAGAAACGTTATGGTTTTTCTCACACCTTGGGTTTATTATATCCAAAAAATTGTTTCTTTTAATTATTTAGAGTATGGATAAGCAGTCTTCTTTGCTTTTTTTATCAAATTGACAGTGTTAATACTTTTTTTTTAATAATTCTTTTTTTCACAACTAAACACATTACAGTGTTTTTCACCTACTACTTAACAAGGTTTTCCTGTTTCAATAATTTAGAAATTTTCCAATGAGGACCTTCAATATAATTGCAATTCATGAAATTGCCCTCCTATTTATGGTAGTTTTCTATATTAGTACGATAATATAGTTATATATGTTGTAATATTGGTCAAATTGAATAAAATTTTATTAATTTAGTTAGATACTAATACATTATTGTTATTGGTAAAATAAATTGTAATTTGCGCTAAGATTATATTTGTATAAAAGGGAAATATCATTGGAAAATACATATTTGGATTATAAAGATTTAATTGGTATATTAAGGATTTTAAGTTATGAGGCTCATTTTTTGTAATTTGAAAGTACCAAAAGCAAGACCTTACTTACAGTAAGTGATTATATATTTATCCTTTCACAATCCACATTGAAAAATTTGCAAATGGGTCCGTTTTGGATCTCTGTAATCAAAATCCTTTAAAAATTTAGAACTCTTAAATAATGCACAAAGAAAATTTGTATTCATTTTTGGATTAATATTTCATTTTTTTAAAAATATAAGTAATCTCTTTTTCCATTCCCATGAATCCAAGTCTAAAATCCTCTCGTGCGTTCAACTATAATACTTTTAAGTATTTTATAATTTACCATATTTGAATTAACTTTTAGAAATTAAAGATAACGTTTTACAAAAGGTAATTCCTGTAATGGTTTTTAGCTTTTTTCCACTCTATAAAAGTCATTCAAATAGCTAAACACTTGTTAAAATAGCTAATAATCTATCAAAGTAGTTAATTTTATTGAACATCTGCCCTTAAAAAATGATTCTAAATCATTGGTTAAACTTATGTTACTTTAGAATTTAATCGGGTTTTATGCTTTCACTTAAAAATAGTCAATTTCAATTTCATTATAAATTAAAGTGGACCTGAGGTTTTTCAAAGTGAAGTACAAATCAATGTTTAATTATTTCAATGTTAACTAAATTGACAAAATAGGTAAAAAAAAAAAAAATACTTTTCTTATCATCCCACCCGAAGAAAGATTATTAGTGGTAATGCCAATCTTTTAGTATGATTACAACACAAACAACAACCACTTATGAACAACCCAACTGTCCCCTGAAGGTCCAATAGAAATAATTTAACGATTACTAAACTTTAGGGACTATAGTGATTTTATTTAATTATAAGAATAAATCATAATGTTCAGTCCAAATTTCAGGAGGTAAGTTAGTAATTTTCTTGTAAAAAAAAAATCCAACATTTGTTGAAAAAGGTGTTAGAAGCATTCGGAATCTGTCCATCAGAACATTCCAAAAGAAAATGCGGATCTGCACGGCTATAAGTCTTCATATAACAACCCCATTTTAACCAAAATTCCAAAAAGCATCATTCTCATTCTTTAGCATATTCATAAACGCCCTAACAATAACATTTTGCCAACTCATTCTCAGACAGACAGACATTACAGCAACAACCTTAAACATTCGCAAACACCCTCCAACTTTCCCTCTATAAAAAAGAAAAAAAAAACCAACAAAAACCACTCTCTCTCCGGCCGGTGAATCCCATTTCCGAGGTGCGAGGAAGGGAATTTACCGTTTAATCCGTCGCCTTCCATTTACCTTAAATTTTTCTTTTTATTTTTCCGTGAATCTTTGAAAATTTTAGTTTGTCTTCTTCTGTTTCTTCCTCTTTCTTCTTCTTTGTCTGTGCAGTTGGTTTAACTGTTTCGGTCTCGTTTATTCTGGTTTTTTGGTTAGAATGTAATGAAGTGCGTCGCGAGAAAGACTTCGATAACGGAGGTTATTACAAAGAGTGTGATGGAAATTTTAGCCGCCAACAGTAGTAACAGAGCAGCAGTTTACAGCTATAAATCATCAAGAATCCCAAGAATTATTATATTTCATGAGACTGAGAATGATTTTGATGGAAAGATGGAACTATGGAGTTAGAACAAATTAGCTGGAAAGAACCAAGAATGTGTTGATCCCTCATGAGGACACGGGAAGGCGACCACTGCTTTCGGCAGAGGCCATTCGGTGGATGGGGGCTGTTTTTCCACAGATTGAGTACGGCGATGATACAGGGTAATGTGTATTTTTCTTGATTTATTTTTGGATTTTTTTTGTTTGTTTTCTTGGATAATTTGATGGTAGACTATCTTCAAAATGAGTTCTTTTTGTTTCTTCTTGGACTTTACTTGGATCTCTGCCTTCTAGTTTTTGTATCTTTCCAATTTCTTGTTTGAGGTTTTTTTCAATGCGTCTGTTTTTGTACGTTAAAGGCTAAAGCTTTGCTTATAAATGGATTTTTCTTCTTGTTCTTCCTTCTGTTGTATCAGTGATATTACTTCAATCTATTCTTTATGAAATTCCAATTTTTTGTTCTTGCTTCCTTCATCAATTTATTACGTGCAATAAAGTTTCTTCATGAAATGTTCCAATTTTGGGGTTATTAAATGTGCGTGTTTATACAAGCGTTTCAATTTTCTGTTTAACAAATTCTGTCGTTCTTCTTTTCGTCTTCTTCTTTCAAGTCTTTTCTTTTTGTTGTTTCCTCTAAAAATTATTTTCTCCTGTCAAAATTTTATTTAATTCTCAGAATTGACATTTTCAGTTTCTTCTTTTATTCAATTTTTTATAGTTCTATGATTGCCGTTTAATTTCAGACTATAATGCATTGTGAGGTATGTGTGTGAAGAGTACATGGTTGGCCATTGAATGGATATGGAAAGGCAATATAAATTCATGGTTAAACAGTACAGCTATGGAAGGTTGCATTTCACAGACACTTCTCCAAGATGGATACATTATCTATCTCCGGCTTCATTTGCTGCTACTATGCCAAGTAATTTTACTTCCTAATTAATTAGGCCTTTTTCACTTTTATTCTCTTTAGTCTTTTCGTCCAAGATGATTTTCATGAAAGTTTAATTTATTGGATTAATAAAAATATTGTCAATAGGCTAGTAGATCAATGAATTGAATGTCTGTCAATAAGTAGTGCTCGGTGTGAGGGATTAAAGAGCTGGAAATGTGATTTGCATCAATGCAATTTTAATGCATTTTTCTAATCCCATTTCCTTTTTGACTGAAGAGAGGTTGAAGGCAGGGTTAATGGGAAGATAGAAATAGTAAAACCCAGACATTATCATCAGTGTACACTCCCATTGATGCAACATATTCCTTTATGGTGTGCTTAAATGGCAAGGTCTACAAAAGAAAGTTATGTTATTGCTACAGTAATCACTTGATCTTAATTTACCTGTCATCGGACATGGGTTAAGTAAAAAATTCAGTTAAATTGTTTTTTGTTTATTATTCGTAGTAACTAGTTGCTATAATCAACATAATATTATAGCACTGAACAAATGCTGAACTATCTTTCAGGTTTTCACTCCTTGGAGTCAATAGATGCTATTGCCCTTCAAATGAAGTAGCCAAAAGGCTTTGCTAGATGGGTCTTGATGTAGTTCTCAAATTCCTGTGTATTTTCGGTTTGCCCATTCAGGCCTTCTTTCCGCCCGTGCCAGTTCTTTCCAAGGTTGGCATGTGTCATATAATATTTCAATCAAAAACATTTTATAATTGATAATCATGTTTGATTACTGATTTTAATGCTGTTTTCTTTCGTTTCTTTCTTTCGTTTCTCGTTGTATAGGACGAACTAAGAGGAAGCAAGCTTGGATGGATCCTAATTTGCCTGCCAGTTTTGCTAATGGGAGGAGGTGAAGGTATGGGTCCTGTAAAGAAAAACTGCAGAGGCTTTAGGAGAATCACTTTTTGAATAAAGAACTTCCAGAAACCAATCGGGCAATTAATCATAATATGTGCGTTAATAAGGTTACTTAAATCAAACACTTGAAATGTCGAATTGGAAATCCCAGTTAGGTAATTTGATTTTTGCACTGTCTCTAACTTATGCACTAGATATGCAGAAGGCATCAAAGTGATCCCGGTTCGTTCGATATTTCAGTGTTAGAGGATTTGAAACGCAGAATGCAGAAATGGATGGAGCATTGTGACTGCATAATCACAAAGTAAGATAGGAAACTATTTTGTATTAACATCATGGATTACTTTAGCATTAAAATTCTAATTCGAATGTATGTTTTATAGGGAGCCGGACCAGGTACAATCGCAAAGAGGCATTGATTCGAGGCTTAACGATTAGTTTCTCATGCTACATTCCACGGACAAGTAATGAGTCATTGTTCATGTAACTAACACTTTATTAACAGTTTATATTGAAGTTTTGTTGAGGAAAATTTGGAAATGTTATTACATTTTAGGTTTCTTAATTCCTTAGCGTTCTTTGGGCAACGTTTTAGGAAAAGGGAAAACGTGTACCTTTTACTCTGTAGACAATGGAGCAGTGTTTTCACCAGAAGTCCAAAAGAACAGCAAGAATTGTAAGAAGATATGGTTATAGTATCAAAGGACAGATGAACTTAAGAAAATGCGAAAATGCACTTGGACTTCGCCCAACCGGAAGCAGTGTTCGACATTGTAAAAGACATTCACCAGGCTAGCTACAAGAACGCGGTCCTTAGGCCAATTATACCTTACATACTTGACATCGTCCATTTACAGGCCTGATCTGATTGATATTGCATTATACATTGTACACTAGCTATAGCAGCCATCACTTCTTTGCCAAATTTAGGAGCTTTGAACACCAAAATGAGGTCGTAAAGAATGGGCAAAGCATGTGTCTAATGCCTATAAGGCGTGGGCAGGGGCAGGGTGGGCTTTGAACCACCAAAAATGACGTGTAAAATTCTGGCCCAGCATGTTTATGATGTTTGGGAAAGGGTTTCTGAATTTCTTTTAGGGGTATTTTTACGGCAATATTGTACATTTGTTAGTTAATATTGCCCTCTATTGTATTACTCTATTGTGCTATGAATATGTTCTCACGCCTTCTCAAGCAATATTTTAAGGTTTTCTTGGCTTCGAATGGGCCAAGTTTTGTTTTTACTTTTGCTTCTAAGTTAAGACTTAATGGCAGAATAACAGATCAATCTTCCTAGGACCTAAAGAAGTGTGGGACATGAGCTTTTTTAGAAGCGGGACAATTGGGAAAACGACTGGCCTGTTGTGCTCTATCAGTTCTAGCTCAAAGGGTCGGGTTCCAAAAAATTAGCTGTTTCTATTTTGATAAATCTATTAACTATTTTAATAATATTTAACTTTTATTTAATTTTTTAAGTAGTTAATAGATCATTTTTTGACATTTCTTGTATAAAAATATTAAAAACGTAACTAATTATAAGATAATCATATTATATATCCCAACAAATATTATAAAAAATAGTCAAAATACTAACGCTTATTGTAAATCTATCACAGGTGGTTTCGATTATAATTCTGTAACGTTTCTAGTCCAGTTACATAAAACTGTGAACTGCATTCATGAATTCATGAGGTCATTTTTGCAAGCTTTGATTGTCAAATCTAATGGTTTGGCGTAAGTTTTCAACTGATTGAACTTTAATGGGTTGTCAACGTTTTTGAAAGGTAGTTGAGTTCTTATATTACTAGGGTAATGGTAGGTTTTGATCCTTCATTGGAGCCATTTTGAAAATCTCCTGTTTTCTCGTGAAAATGCAAAATAAATTTATTTTGTAGAAAAAATGAATTAAATACAACGTTAATTACAAAACCTACAATCAAATTAAATGATTGGCTTTAAAGTAGAAAACAGTTTACAACTTCTTTAATAAGTATTTTACATTAAAAAAAATTCCACTAAATTTTGTCTTCATCAAATGAACATTAGTTAATTATTTTTTTAGTTTTTCTTAAAATTAAATAATTCAACCCTTGTTTTTTTTTATTTTCTGTCCAAAAATTAAAGAGTCAAAATTTTCATATATTAGTCACTTTACCATGTCAACTACGGCAAAAATCCTTAGCGGTCCAAAAGCCAAATTGGAAATCTTAAACTGGTGGACCTTAAACTGCCTAAACCCACCGTTACATATGATTCGTCTCCCAGTCCTCGAATTTATTTATTAGACTTATTTAGTGGAATTTTTTATTAAATTAAATTTTATTTTTTATCCATGTTAGAACGTTCATAAGTACAAATAATACTTTATCTCCGTAATCAAAAATTATGTGAAACTATAAAACAAAAGTAATATTTTTCTTAAATATTATTAAAATGATAAAATTTTATTCCTATCCTTCTTATGAAAAATAGAAAGACCAGCTAATTGCTGTAATTTTTATTTACAAAGATAAAAAAATAATGTATTATTCTTGCTAATTGCTATTATCGTTTGCTGACAAATATAATTAATTTAATAGTAAAAATGGCATTTATTTTATTATATTTACTTGCAATTAAAAAGAGTTTTTTTTATTCAATTAAAACTTTACTTGCGAAATTGCAGATAAACTTTAATGTGTATGTAATTCCAGTTTAGAGAAATAATTATTTCTTATTATTGTAGATGAATAAGTAGGAAGTTTAATAAGCTGAAAAAAAAGCTGCCCTTGGAACGAAAAGTTTTCCTTTGGGCATAGAATATGCAGTTGGGGAGGAATATAACGTTCCGTCGTTTCAAGAAAATTTCCCCTTAGAAAACTTCTCTTTGGCAAGAATAAATGCCCTTGGGACATCGACGACGCCTCCGTTTCTTACGAATTTCATCCTTTGCGGTGAAACGGTTGAATCAAATGCTGAGCGAATGATTTCCACCCATCCGACTGGCAGACTCAACAACGTTCTGAGACTGTCTCGCCTTTTACAAGAATTTGATTCGTGAGCTCGAAAATAATATCAATTTAGTCGGAGAAAAAATGGTATCCATTTCATTTATTTCGTTATCTTGCAAATTTTTTGGTTTCCATTTTAAGAAATGGTTTAAAAATTCTGAATGTAAACATTTTCAATTCAGCCTTGCAATTTCTTCATCTTAGGTTGATTGAGCATGTGCGCTTCTATCGCAGCCGTATTGAAAATCTTAGATCTTTAGCTTTATTTAATTCACGTAGAAAATCTTGGTTATGGTTGATGATAATTTGGGTTTGTTTTGGTTTAAAAGTAGGCATGTTTTTGGAATTGATTTCGCTTCGCTTGCAAAACCTAAAAGATGATGTTCATTCTGGGGTAGGTTTATCACTCTAGCTTTGTAGATGAAGAGGAGTTTGCACAAAAGTCTTGTGGGGTGTCCTTTACTTCCTTTGAAAAGTCATGATAAAAGGTCCTGCTCCAGTTCTTTCAGGACAAGCGAGGTAGTGAATAGATGCTCTTATTTTATTGACCAATCTATTTGTCATGGAAATGTTTTCTTTAATTGAAAATTATGGATTATGGAATTGTTTTTATGCAAGATACGAAACACTGAATTAGTTGGATGAACAATCACATTTTTCCGGAGCCAATGTTTTCTTTAGAAACTTGATTATTAGAGTTCCAGTCTGATAAGCTTCTTATATTTGACATTTATATCAATGTTGGCTTTGAAGAGGCTGAAGGAATGCCCAGAACCTTGGCTGAAGGAACCAAGCAATCATTTAGTATTCTGAGGTCTGGAGAATGTTCGTGTTCCCGGAGACATCTGCGGCGTTTTCACTTCTTCCTCGGCCTTTTGAATCTCGCTTGGAATCGCAAGAAGGAAGCAGGGTAAAAGATCATTAGTATCTTTTTGTATTTTGGATGTTAAAATTCGTGGACATACTTTTTAAGCAATGCCCCCAGATAAACTTCAGGAGTCTTGTTTTATATGATATTTTTTCTTTTGAATTTCAGCCATGAGGAAATACTATGCTTCAGTTTTTTATCGGCAAACATGCAGGCAGTAACGCTAATGTTAAAAATGATTGAATTAACCATCCTAAAACCTACCTGAATTCATAGAATTAATCAATTGTCCTAGCTCCTAATGCTTCATTGGTGCTATTTTCAAGAACAGAAACTACTTTTAAAACTAATTTATTGTGATGGTCTTTTGTTGTTCTGACTAATGGATTGCTTTGTTAATTTACTCCCTATGCTTTCTTCATTTTAATTACAGAAATTGGTCACTTAAGACTGATTTAGTGTCTCTAGCTTTTTTATTGTGCATACATTTTATGCGCTAAACAGTTTTTGTTTCATGGACTCTTGATGATTTTACTTTGACCATCATAGTCTTTCCATAAACAGCTGTTCCTGTTTTTAGAAAGCATTAATCTTTACTGTGGACTAGGTGTTTCATTATTATTATGTTCTCATTATATCAAGTAATTTGTCGAGGAAGTCTCTATATGACTGTTAGTTAAATTATCACCAAAATGACACAAGCCGTACTCCATTCAACTGTGAATTGCGCATTACGTGAAATCCGATTGAGGGTAAATAATAATAAATAAGCAGTAATCAGTGGCTTCAAAGTTTCTTGTCCATGGGTGTTCACTCTATAATTGTATTAGAGCTATTGATTCTGTGAGACCATAATTCTGAAAGTTTGCATATTGGGGTCCTTGTTCAAGGCATTTGACATTGCTGTGGTTCCATCTTACAAAAATGACGATCTTTTTTTGCTGAACTAAAAACCTTTGAGTTATCAGTGCTTTTGAATTCTTTACACGGCAGAGCTATTCAGAAAATTATCTGAAGCAGAATGAGGGAAGAAAAAGCGGGCGGCTGTGAGTGTTGCATATAAACCAATGGGACTTCCAAACAAATGGTGGATTGCATTTGCTAAGAGAAAATTTATGATTGTATATTGCTCTTTGCAGTAGTTTGTTCATGGGTCGGAGACCCGGTGATGAGTTGTGAATATTCTTGTTACTAAAGTCAGGAACTTGCAATCCTGTCAAAGGAAAAAAATAGGAAAGATGTGAGCTGGGTTTTAAATGTTTGTTGTCTGATAACTTGCCACGACAGAATGGTAGTAGCCTTATCGTTGAATTTACAAATCTGAAAAATGTTCTGAAGAAGTTTGTATTCTTACTGTCGTTCATGTTCTTGCAAGGAAAGAGGGGGTATTAAATGCATTCTTATTAATTTAATGTAGAGTGAATTTAGGTAGGGATTTATGGCTGATGGTGTAGGTGGTCTTTGTGTTCGTGCATTTCTGTGCTGGTTTTCTCATATCAGCACTTCAACTGTAATATTCAGAGCTTGATGGATGAAAATAAATTGCATTATTGGTGTTATTCAAATTCAAAGTTGAAATTATTAATAAGTAAGTTTTGAGTTCAAAATAAGAGAAAAGTGCACGACGTAATAAATTTTATATTTAAATTTTACTAATACTGAGGTTCCGTTTGTTACTATAAAATAATTTAAGGAAAAAATACTTTTTCAGAGTTTTCTGGTTGTTTTGGGGGGGCACTTCAGGAAATAACGGTCAAAAGGAAAATATTTTTCTGGTCAAAGAAAATTAAATCATTTAAGGAAACTAAATATCATTTTTTTTGACATTTTGTATTATTTCAATTCATTTTTATAAATTCAGAACATTTTGTAATTATTTTGTTTATATGTTCGATTAATATGACAAAATATTTCTCAATTTTAATAAACATTAAAATTTACGTTATACATTTTCTACTTAAATTCTGTTATATCACAACTGGATTCATTAAGAACTTATTCTAAAAATAGAAACTGTTAATATAAGCTTCTTATCTTCTAGATTCAGTTGCCATTATTCTTTAAAAAAAACATTTGCGGAACTCGCTGTCACATGCTAACTAACTAATATGACTCATAATTATATAGGTTTTAATTCGATCATAAAGTCTGCAATTTGTATTTTTTTTGGTCTTTAAAATTTAATTTTCATGTCCAAGGGAAATCAAAGAGTAAGCACAAACTAAATTTGTTAATATATGGTTATTTATTTGAAACTTTTGTAAAGAAAATTCCAATCTTTTCCAATTCTTTGGATCTTCTTCCTTTTAGAGAAATGCAAAAAAATAAATACGTAAATAAAAATAATAATTAAATGCAAAGTCTCTAAAAAAGTAGTTCCATTAATATGCACTATCAACACATCTTCATTCCAAACCAATACCAACCACAATCTCTCCCTTGATAATCCCTCATCATTCATCCCTCTCCATGCTCCGTCCAATCCCATTCCTTCAATCTTAGCCGTTTTATTCTTATTAATCTATTTCCTTATTTCTTTCAAATTTAGGGTTTCCACCGGATCACGACCACATACTATCCCAATCTCCCTCTATGTCAATCAAAGATCAATCACCAGCAGCACCACCACATCACCGGTTCAACGGCCAGGATTTCCCCTCCTACTTGTCCCCACTTGGCAGAGTTCCCGTGGCCGGAACGTTTCGAAAGCCATTCCGGGGCCCTCCACAGACTTGTTCTTCAGGGTTGAAACCACCGGGTGGGCCGCGCCGGCCTACTTAGGGAACCCATCTTGAGGTCCCCCTTGTGCGCGCCGTGGTGGAGAGTTTCGCGGCCTCGACTATATGTTTGTGTGGCATGCGCAGCGTCTCTTGCCACGCGCCACCTGGACCCTCTCACGCTGCTGCAACATGCTACGTCCATGCCTCCAGGCCATCGAGATCGCGAGTGGATGTTGATCGTGCAGGAACTCTTCCTTGCTGTGCGGTGTCGCGATCAGGTCTACGGACCCATTTGATTTCGATGCTGCGGTGGTCTTATCCCAAACAGTGGCAGGCTAAAAGTCCGCAACAAATCCAAATCCTCCAAAGCCCGGAAAAATCTCCGTAAACGGCGGAGAGTTGATTACCGTCCCTGGTCACCGATATGCGGGATCGAGTATTAATGCGAGAAGCAGCTCAAGTCACGCTAGATTACACGTTTTGATATGCCGCGGGGATTGAGAGCGATCTGAATAATCTGGGGAAACACTTGCTTTATGAACTCAGTGCGTTCAGGCCATTCCCTTCATACGCGCGCCATGAGGAATTATTTCTTGAGTGATCGGCATTAATAGGTATCTATGTAAGCTGAAAAGATGGTGTTTACAACCACCAGAGCTACTGGAAAGAGAAATTGTGGGTAATGCTTGATATTAATCGGCAACAGAATTGCGTAGGCTGTGTTTGGCTTGTGACATGGATGCATGTTTTCTTGATGTTTTTTTTTCTGGGGATCGGACGCCTTATAGCCCCGCAAATTTTGTATAGGACACCCGGCTATTAACTTTTTGCGTTATTTGAGTTTGTAGGACAATGTGTGGGATTTTGTTGTATTTATGGCGTACGTTTTATCTAAACTGTCTGGACGGATCTGATATTTACTGCTTTTTTTATTTATTGGGATTTTAGTTTGGTTCATTCTGAAGGGATGTTTAACTCTTCCTGCTTGGCTTGGAGTTTTTGATTTGTATTGGATGCAAGTTGGTGGCAACATGGTCTACTTGGCCAGTTACGAACAACAGGATTGCACATTGAATTTTTCATCTCCATGCTATTATGGGATACATGAAAAGGTGGAGAAGGATCGATGCAAGCCCCACGGTCAAAGGGTTAAAGATTATGATGTCTTTCATTTTTTTGATGCCCTTTGTCATGTATCGTGCAGTTGATTTCTAATTAGAAAATATAGGGGGTTCACTAAGAATCAATTGTGTTTTCTAACCTTGGTTGCCATGTTAGATGTAGTATACCAGTTTCCAAGTTCCATTTTTGTTGCACGATTGTCACCAAGATGGAATTAAATAGATTGTTTCTGTTATGGGCCAAGTAATCGGACGGGTATAATGTGTGGCCCCCATCTTACTGTATAATGTGGTGGTCCCCCATCTTTCTCGTGCATTGTCTCCAAAACTATGTTATTTGGGCTTGCTGTTTTGTCTTGTCGAATTTTAATTTTTCTTTACTGCAATTCAACACCTGGTTGCCCTTCAGTGGACACAATTGATCAAAAGGGAGCGTAAATTCTTTATATTTTGAGCACCTTCCTCAAAAACCCTGCAGTTGATGATGACTTGATGTCCAAAATGGAGCTAGAAAATCTAGTTTTCATCTGAATCATTGGAGAAACCGACTTCCCAATTTGCTCGTCTGTTAAAGCTGAATGTTAGCTTGTATTTCTAGCTCTGGAATTTTATTCGTCATATATCGGCTATCATTTAGGCTTACTGTTCAGTGGTAAAAATTTGGACCGGCTTATATTGTATTGTTAGTGTCTAGGTGGTTTCTGTTACGAAGGAATGAGAAGAAATTAGAGCGCTTTTAGAGCACATCCTGCATTTCATAATTGGGACTTAGGGGAAGTGATCATGAGAGTTATCTAAGCATGAATAAGTGGTTAAGATGCTGCAAGAAGATCAGATGCGATTCTATTAAGCTGCTATGTGACCCACTCTTTCTATTTGTAGTAATTCTTGTTTGATCAAAATGATCCAAATGCTTCTGAAACGATTAATTAGTGCACATAACTTTTAACGTGCAGGGTGTGGGTTTTAGGTCTCTGTTATTGGCCCTAGGAGTTGACACGTTGCTCCCAGTTTAGCGCTAATTCCTCAACATCAACATGCAGACTTGATGATGTAATCTGCTTTGGCCTCCAGTAAGTCAACTTTTTCAAAAGCCTGTTTGTTTTGGTTTCATCATAGGTTTCTCACTGTTCCATAATACCTTCATGTATTGTACCACCTTTCTCATGCTTAGGCGGTCTCGTTTCACCACAAAGTTCATCCCAATCTTCAGAATAAGGGAGGAAGGTTGGCTTTAGCTTCACATCAGCCTAAGATTTCTTTTTTACTCAAGAAAACGTCAATGTGTGCATGCTTGCTTCTGAGTGAGGCTCCTTTGAATCTTTTTTTTTTTTTTTTTTTTTTTTTTTTTTTTTTTTGTTATATCTAGATGAATGTTGGAAATTCATTTTTTTCTAGTTTATATCATTTGCTGTTTTGCATATTCCTATTCCCAAGCTTCTTCTGTAATGTTTCAACTCTTTGGTTTTCCATTTTCTTTTTTTTTTTTTTTTTTTTTTTTTTTTTTTTTTTTTTATATCTAGAGAGAATGTTGGAAATCATTTTTTCTAGTTATATCATTTGCTGTTTTGCATATTCTATTCCCAGCTTCTTCTGTATGTTCAACTCTTTGGTTTTCCATTTCTCACAAACCTTGCTGTGCTTCTTCTCTTCAAATTTGTGCATTAGTTATTGGCAATAAACAGTTATGTGATGTGAAATGTAAATGAGGTATCAGATGTATTCCACACTTTGTGCAAAATAGAAGAGAGACTTGACGAATTTAATCTGGGATAGAAGCAATGATAAGTCACTACACTCCATCCCAATTTGAAATTAGAAAACAAATATTGCTGGTCTTCTGACAAAAGGATTTTAAAAATTCTTTTGGCTCTGGTAGAGTTATAGTCGAGAAACAGAAAGATAGAGATGCCTTGTCCAACAAGTGATATCTATTTAGTATTTTAGCGGAAGCAGGAAGAAATCCAAGGTACCATTTTCAGTTAATTCCATAGAAGAATACAAACTGGCCTTGTCTTGTGCTGTGTCTCTAAAAATGATGTTGCAATCTCTTCTGTGTGCATAACTCTTTGAATTTATTTATTTAGGTGTTTATATTATGAATTGAACTTGATGAATTCAAATGCTTTTGAAAGTGCAGGCCATGGAGACTGTTGTATTGCACACAGAGTTTTTTCTGGTATATTGCGTTCTGATGTCATGTGTATGGCTTGTGGTTTCACATCTACAACATATGATCCTTGTGTGGATATCTCATTGGATTTAGAACCTCACCAAGGGGGATCCGGAAAGTCAGCATCCATGAAGGATCATCATTTATGCAATGGTGAAGCAGATAGCAAAAATCCGAGCCAGAACTGTGGGATATCTACCCTGATGGGGTGTTTGGACCGGTTTACTAGACCTGAGAGATTGGGATCTGACCAAAAATTCTTCTGCCAACAATGTCAGGTGAGGCAGGAGTCTCTCAAACAGATGTCAATAAGAAAGCTTCCTTTGGTTTCTTGCTTCCACATCAAAAGATTTGAGCATTCTTCAATACGTAGAATGTCAAGGAAAGTTGACCGATATCTGCAATTCCCTTTTTCATTGGATATGGCACCTTATCTTTCTTCTTCCATATTGAGGAATCGATTTGGCAACAGGATTTTCCCATTTGACGGTGAAGAACAAGATGTTACCAACGAGATGTCATCAGAGTTTGAATTGTTTGCTGTTGTCACACACTCAGGTAAACTTGACGCAGGTCACTATGTGACCTATTTACGATTAAGTAATCAATGGTACAAGTGTGATGATGCTTGGATTACTCAAGTCAATGAGAACATTGTGAGGGCTGCACAAGGCTATATGATGTTTTATGTGCAGAAGATGCTTTATTACAAAGCAAGTGAGAATCAGGTAGCCTCGTGATATAATGACCAGAAATGGCAGTAGTTAACTCAACTGCACTGGGAAAAGTAATCAATGAATGAAGTCACCGTGGACATAGAATTCTACATTGGTGATACGCAATGGCTAGTTTTATATGCCAAGCAAGCAAATGTTGGAAAGCTATGGTATTCCCCTCGGAGAAGCTGTACCCATCTTATTTTAGTTCATCAAGTCATGGTTTATTATACTTGGAACGTAACGTTCGCCTGAATTTTTGAGGCACTTCAACATTTAGTTTTTTATGAAGGTATGGATTTTCTTAATTTCTTCCTGATTTGATAATTTTTACCTGGAGGGGCTTTTTCTCCCTGCTTATTCAAGTGTTTTTGGTGGGTTGATTCTTTTTTCATCACGGATCTCTCAAAGCTACAATGCTTGGGAGTGTAGTTGAAACAGTGTACTAATCTTCTTTACATGGCATATATATGTCAAAATCTGATATAAGAGTTTAGTTGCTTTTACTTCTTAAGGCTTTGATGATCAGTTTCGGCCACTTCTGTCGCGCATGAACTAAGCACAAAGATTTGATACATCTCTATATGAAATATTGATTGATGCCAAAATGATGAAAATCTTGTTGCAGCAGTATATGAGGTTCCATTGACAAAAAACATGCCAATATACTTTATACTATATCCAACAAACAATACTAATTTCTTTACTTGAACTCTGTCCGTCAAAATATAGCTACAAGCTAACAACAAATAGTGAAAGCTGAAGTAACAAATGAGGACATTAGGAAGGGTAAATCAGCAAGGAGATGGAGATATGATTTTTATGGTGGTGATACTATTTATTAAAATTTTAGCCTTTTGGGAAATCCAATCTGCCAGGTTAGCTACTACAAATCCCAGGAACACCTGTTAGACATTTGAGAGAGAAATTGCAAATAGAATCAGTAAAAGATTAATTAACTATCATATATCTTATTGAGAGTTTTAGGATTATTATAATTTGTTCTTAAGGTTAATTTAGATGGTTTAACAATAATAATAATAAAGCATTGTGTGTAAAAGTTAGTCTATGATACCACATTATAGCTAAATCAAAATAATATTAATAAAAATAAATAAGTAACTATGATATTTCTGAACTTTTTTTGTTCAATCTCCCAATAAGTTTTGCTTTTTCAGAAAAGTGATTCAATGTCCTAGTTTCAACTTTCAAGTGGATTTTACCTGAGCTGAGCCGATAATATAAATTCCTGAATATTGTTGACCATGGAGCACCATGTCCTCTAACATAGCTAGTGGTATGGTAAGAGAAACGCCAAGTGCAGCCACCAATGGGCTGGTCCAAACAACACCTAATCCCCTGGGAGTTTGACATAACACCGTCTTGTTTATCATGAGGGAAGCAAAAAAACATAAAAGAAGCATAAATCAATTTCACAAATCTTAAATGTACCAGAAATAATCACATAGGAAACTCCCAACAAAACTGTTAAGAAGGATAATTTCTTCCATCTTAGCTGAATGTGGAAGTTTGAATTTTGGTTCTATACCCATGGCTGTAAGAGGCCAAACTGAAGAAGAAAAGGTCAAAAAAAAAAAAAAAAACCTATCCTTTATAAAAAAGAGTTTGATTTTTACCAAGCCACCAGAGTGCAGCAAATGTGAATAATCCTATATAACCAAACAATTTCTGCAAATCTACCCTTTCTCCTTCACCAGCAAACTTTTTTAGCAACACTGCAACTTAATTTCTTCTGTTAATCTCTCATATCATTAAGCTAAAAACATAATTATTTGTAAAAAATTACAAGACAACCCAAAAAAAAAAAAATGAAAAACAAAAACCTGTAAATAGTCCATAAGTCAAAGCTGATAGAGCAGCATAAAGATCTCCAACAAGAGAATGCTTATGATCTCTGAACATAAATATTAAAGAATCAGTTTCTTTAAACCAAAAAATGTTTGAATTTTCAATAAATGAATTTTAAAAGAACATACTTAGAGGTGATTGATTGTGATCCATTTGCAGCCCATGTTTTGCCTAATATTGTCATAGCAACACCAGCCATACTAACAAGTACAGAAATTACTTTGACTAAAGTAATGGACTCTTCACCAAGAAATGCTCCAATCAAGAGAGTGAAAAGGCCTGAAGTTGATGACAATAGTGTTGTGCTTGCAACACTTGTTCTTGCTAGTGCAGCATTTGTTAGATACTGAATTTACCAAAAAACCATCAAATTACTTATACATATTACGGAAATTCCATTATTTTTCGGCCTATACATAAATTTGACCCTTAACTTGGCCGATTCTCCTTGTGGCTCTAAAACTTTTATCAGAGTTTAATCATGACCCTACATTTTCACATTTTAGTAATAATTATGTCCCTCGCCAAAATGAAATGGGAAATGGGTCTCTGTAAAGTTTAGTGAGCCACAAGGATGATCGCCAAAAGTATAAGGTCAAATTTATGCATTACGGCATTATTTGTCAGCAAACTTCTTTGCTGCTTCAAATCAATAAGCATAATAAACTACTAATCATCAAGAGAATCTATCTCAATGTTCTAATGAACTGTGCTTTACATGTTTCAGGAGTTAATTAAGTCAAAAAGAATCTGATGGATTTAAATTGTACTAATCAAGGTCTCACCTCTGTTAGAAACCACAAAGGAGCAATGCAGAATCCAACAACAGAAGTTTCTCTTGCAGTAAGCTTACTATTAGCTTTCAAGCTCTCAACATTGTTGTTGCATTGGGAAACTACTTGATTTCCATCCTCCTTTAGAGAAACATCAATAGCAGAGTCTCTATTAACCAAAGATCCATTAAATTCAATGTCAAAATTAGCAGAAGCCCGATTTTGTTTGACAGGACGATCAATTTCTGCTATTGACTTATCATCAGTAGTAATTCTTGCATTCTTGCTACTACTTCTTGCACCAGAGCGATTTCTTATAATTTGTAGCAGCCAGTCTTTAATGAACGCAATAGGAAGATAAACAACTAAAAGAGAAGTCCCCAGATATGTCACTGCAAATGGGTGATTATAGTTTCTGTAAACACCCTGCAGAAATAATTATCAATAAGGTCAAAATATCAGCTGAAATTTAAGACCAGGAGAGACATCCAAAGAACAGTGCTGACATATATATATACACACACACACATAAAGTTGAAAGAAAGGAAATCTTGGCTGCCTAGACCACTATAAAAGGAAAAGAGTAAAGAAAAAGTTTAAAAAGGTAAGCCAAAGAAAAAGATATGAGCTTTTAATTTAGGAGCACTTCAAAGGCAACTTGGTATGTGATCTTTTTTGTATGTCACTGAGCACTAACATCAGAACATCAGGAAAGAATTATGATAATCATTATAATAATTATTCAATTAATGAACTTTAGCATTGTAATACTGAAATTGTAACAATGGCAATCTTTTAAAATTTCATCCATGTCGTTGGACTCGATGATTGAGTTTTTTTCTCATATTGCTCAATGAATATTCAAGCTCTAACCACTCTTATCCCTTTCAAAAATTTATAATGAACCAGAAAAAAAAAAAAAAAAAGAAATTCATCCATGCTTATATATAGTTCAATATTACAACAAAAAATCCAACAAGAAGACCATTTTTGAGTTTTCTCAGAAAGAAAGAATGCATGTTTGTCAAAGAACATCAATGGAAAAAGAGTACTAACCTGAGTAACCTCTGCAGAACTAACCCAAAGAATCACAACAGTGAAGATAAAAATCAAACCTCCCTTGTATTTCCAACCCATCTCTCAAATTGGATTTTTATAAACTCAAGGATATATATTTCTTGCTCTCATATAAATACATGTAAAAATGCATATAACCTATCCTTTTTCTCTCTTCTTAATGTTTCTGTCTCTCCATATAAAGCCTCATCTATAGATATATACTCAAAATTGATAATACACAACACACTAGTAATCTTTTAGTGGTGTCATTTCTCCTTCCTTTTAGAGTAAATAGAGAAAAAAAAAAAAAAAAGAAAAAAAAAGAAAGAAGGAGAATATTATGCCTGAAAAGTAAGAGCATGAGGTTTGTAAAAAGAATTTGTAAATAAAAGCAACCTGGTTATTTTAGTTCACTCTTCTTTCTTTCCTATGAAACCTCACCCGAAAAAAAAAAAAAAAAAAAGAAAAGAAGGAAAGAATATCTAATGCTGAAAAGTATAGAGCATGAGGTTTGTAAAAGATTTGTAAATAAAGCAACCTGGTTATTTTAGTTCACTCTTCTTTCTTTCCTATGAAACCTCACCCGACAATTCCTCCTTCAACTGGTTGACAGTTGCACCATCAAAGATTGATGTTCTGTTTGTTTAAAATTATAATAATTAATAAATAAAAAGACCAACAATTTTATCTCAATTATTTCTGTTACTAATGAACCAATGAAAATTTAACTCAATAAAAATAAAGTAAACAAAGATTGTTACTATTTTATCTTTGTTTTCTCAATGAATTGTTAAAAATATTCTCATTACGCTAAAAACTTGTTTTTGAGTAATTTAATATATAAAGTGAACCCACACACTGAGTGTAAATAAATATTCTTTTTAAAAATAAGACTCGTCTACACCTGATATATGAGTGGTCCATATATCCAACCAATCCAAAAAGATTATTGTTTTCCTTTTTTTTCTATTAGAAATACACTCGGTACACCAAAAATTTGTTTTTGGTTATATTGGTGTATGGAATGAGCCCATATATCGATACATGTATGTATTTTTAAGGGTGTAAATGAGTTGAGCCGACTTGTGAGCCGTTCGAGCTCGCTCGAAAAAAAGTTTAAAAAAGTTCGACTCGAGCCTACTCGTTTAGTAATCAAGCCGATTTCAAACCTAATGATGTTCAGTTCGAAAGTTCGTTGAGTTTTATCGAGCTTATATATATATATATATAATATTATTTTAGATTACTCAAGTCTTGAGCCTCGAGTTTAAAATTTTTCAAGTTGAACTCAAACTTAAAATTAAGTTCAAACCGAGCTCGAGCTTTCATCGAGCCGAACCTGAGCTTAATTTTCAGGTTCATTGAGTTTCGGCCGAGCTCCGAGTCTGACAGGTTCGAGCTCAGCTAGGCTCATTTATATCCTTGTGTTCCCCTCCAACTTTTAAAGGAGAATAAAGCGCTTTTTTTTCTTACAAGCATGGTGCTTTTTCAGCTCTTTTTCTGATTTGAGGAGAAACAATTTTATAGTTTCCACAAGAAAAAAAATACTATTTATATAAGGTTTAATATAAATTTCAATTTGTTGTTTATAAAAGATAGTCATGTCAATTTGTGTATAATAAAAACCTAATATCAAATTTTAATAATGGAAAAATAATACTGATGATGCGTGAAATTAAAATTTTGTATCATAATTCTCTCAATACTCCATTAATGCAAAGATATATTTTTGGTTACACAAATAAAGAAAAGAAAACTATCAAAAAGAAAGTAATTGAATTTTTTTAATCTCACGTTTCATTCATATATTCTAATTTTATGGTTTTTAGATCAAATAATTTTTTGTTTACCTTTTTCATTCATATACCCTTTATATTAAATACTGATGAATATTTTAAAATAAAAAATAGCTAATATAGAGTGCAACAATAATTACTTAAGCTTTTTTAGTAAAATAATTAATGATTTGATTAATTTTAATAGTATTGTATTTTTTTTTTTTGGTAAAAATGCATATTAAATAGGTACAAAATAGAAACTTATAAAAATTATTCTCTTATAAGAAAGAAAATATGATTATAATTTGAAATAAATGAAAAAAGAAAGTGAATCTATTATCACATAAATGAGTAAATTAATTTTATTCTTTTAATTTCTTATTTAGTGAAGCCCATCCTGAAAGTCAAATTTAAGAACCACCATAGTCTAAAGAACGGAAGAGAAGATAAAGAATTTCTTCAGCCTCTAGTTTTATTTTGAATTTCTTTTTCTTTTTTTTTTTTCATTTTCAATTGTCTTCAATTTTTTTTTTCCTGTTTTCATTTTCGTGCTCGCAAAACCCCAAACGAAACAACCAAAAAACGAAAAAAAGGTGTGCGAGCGAGCCTATGTGATTGCGTGCTTCTATCTCTGTCTTATCTATCTATTACTTCTCCTCTTTCTCTCTCTTCCTCTTCTTGCTTCCCTCTTCGTTTTCATTATCATCGTACATATGCGAAATCCGAGAAATCGGGACCTTTTGTAATCAATTCATATTGGGTTTGGGATTCAGACCTTGATTTTTGCATTCCAAATGTCCAATAATCTGTTGGCTAATTTTAGTATTCGGATTTGAATTTCGTTTCTTGGTGGGGTTTTTGATTAATTTTTGGGCAGTGAAGCTGGCTCACTTATCCGATTTAGGTTGGCATCTATCTGCTAATTTATTATTTGTAATTTTGAGCTTTAATATCTGCTTTTTTTTTTTTTCTTTTTATGTAATTGAATGAACCATGTTCCTGTTTTATTTGGTGCTTGTTAATTTTTCATTTGTCTTCTTTTAACAATTTGAAATTTTGAATTATGTATTTATCAGGATGAAGAGTATTAGGGATTGGGCATTTACTCAATTGTTATCTAAGTCTTTGGCTTCGTCTAGGCCTTTGTTGGGCACTGGCAGTTTTTTCTCAGACGGACCTGTAGATGAAGATTCTAATGATCAAGGTACCTTGCTTCTGTTTGCCTCTTTGATACATAATTTTGCAACTCTGCTGGAAATTTTCAGTAGTCGGTGACTGCCCTTGCTACTCATGACGTAATCTTGGTGAAGGAGAGACGAGTGAAAGTATGTAAAATGATAACTAGCAGTGATATTAGCTATCTTTGTCAGAAACTTAGTATTAGCTTACTCCGTTTGATACAAGTTCTCTTGCTGAAATGAGGATTGCCAGTATGTGTTTGATTGGTTCATGCTAGCTTTTATGTTTACTATTTTGCAGTGTGAGGTGTTCCTTTTTTGTTCTTGTCCATTCACTGAACTGACCAATTGCCCGACTCTTTTGTTTTGGTCTGCATTTGATATAATTCATGTTTTTCCTGATTTGTGTGTCGCCAGATTAAGGAACTTTCGATCCTTGCCAAAATGTTAGGAGGAATGTAGCCACATTCCTATTTGAACCATGATTGATATGCAGACAGTGAACTATGAGGAATCTTGGAAACATCTGTCTATAAATGGTCTAGCTAGCATTTTAGTTCTGAGTAATGTGCTGCTTGATGTAAATATATTTGAAAAAAATTGGGCTGAGCTTTCCTCTTTGTGATATCTATGTGAATAATAATTACCATAAAGCCTTAGATTTCTTTGGCTTGGAGTGTTTATGAATCGAAATTTGCCACAATGGAACTGATTTTAGTAGGACATAAAAATATTTTTTTCTGATAAAATTATATATGTTGATTTTCATGAGAAAGAGCTTCTTGTTTTATCTGCAGCTCTCATGGCCTGTTCAGAGGTTGCACCACAACCCCCTGATACATCATACTCAGCCAACGATACTCAGGAGAATGGACCTCATCCATCTTCAAGGCAAGTGTATCAGCATTCTAACACATCTAACCATGACAGTGAACTTGAAAAGAGGGATCCTTTGGCAAAGATTGATGGTCTCCAAATTAAGTTTTTCCGGCTTCTCCAACGATTAGGGCAGTCGCATGACAATCTTGTGGTGGCAAAGGTTTTGTACAGGATGCACCTAGCAGCAACAATCCGAGCAGGGATATCAGATTTGAAAAGAGCCAGGAAAGTAGCAGCAGAACAAGAGGCAACTGACATACCCAAATTAGATTTCTCTGTAAGAATACTTGTCCTTGGTAAAACTGGCGTTGGAAAGAGTGCAACCATAAACTCTGTGTTTGATCAAACTAAGACCACGACTGATGCATTTGAACCGGCCACCAATTGCATCCAAGAAATTTCAGGGATGATCAATGGAATCAGAGTAACTTTTATTGACACCCCTGGTTTTTTACCATCATCAACAGGTAATGTGAGAAGAAATAGGAAGATCATGCTCTCTGTTAGGAAATTCATTAGAAAATCCCCACCAGATATTGTTCTGTTTTTTGAACGACTAGACCTCATCAACATGGGTTATAGTGATTTTCCTCTTCTAAAGCTCATGACCGACATCTTTGGCAATGCAATTTGGTTTAACACTATCCTCGTCATGACGCACGCATCCTCAACACTTCCTGATGGACCAAGTGGATATCTGGTCAACTATGAAAATTATGTGAGCAAATGTACAGACCTGATGCAATACTTTATACACCAGGCGGTATCTGATACAAAACTAGAAAACCCAGTACTTCTAGTTGAGAATCATCCTCAGTGTAAAAGAAATATCATGGGGGAAACTGTTCTTCCCAATGGACAAGCTTGGAAATCTCAATTCTTGCTTTTTTGCATATGTACCAAAATTCTTAGTGATGCTAATACGCTCTTGGAATTCCAAAACAGCATTGAATTGGGGTCATCTCATAGCAACCGTGTGCCTTCACTGCCACATCTCCTTTCATCTTTTCTACAGCATCACTCCCAAAATGAAGCAGACCATGAAATTGATGAGATTTTACTTTCAGATGCAGATGAAGAAGATGAATATGATCAGTTACCTCCAATCCGAATCTTGACAAAATCTCAATTTGAGAGATTGACTAAATCGCAGAAAAGAGACTACCTTGACGAGCTCGATTACAGAGAGACCCTTTTTTTAAAGAAACAGTTGAAAGAGGATGCTGCTCGCAGGCAGAGGAAGAAGAAGCTTTCTGAAGCAGAAAATGTTGGAGAAGATAATAATTACGATGACCAGCAGGCATCTCCAGAGGCTGTCCTCTTACCAGATATGGCTGTCCCTCCAAGTTTTGACTCGGATTGCCCTGTGCACAGATATCGCTGCTTTGCTACAAGTGACCAATGGCTTGTGAGACCTGTGCTTGATCATCAAGGATGGGATCATGATGTGGGCTTTGATGGTATAAACTTGGAGATGGCTACAGAGTTAAAAAAGAATATGCATGCCTCAATTACAGGACAGATGAGCAAGGACAAGCACAATTTCAGTATTCAGTCTGAATCTGCTGCAGCTTACACAGATCCCAGGGCTAGGGGACCTACTTATTCTGTGGGTTTTGATGTTCAGTCTGCTGGTAAAGATTTTATCTATACAGTTCACAGCAACACAAAGTTGAGGAATCTCGAGCACAACATTGCTGACTGTGCAGTTTCATTGACATCCTTTGGGGACAAGTACTATGTGGGTGCCAAGATAGAAGATACTATATTTATTGGGAAGAGACTGAAATTTGTAATGAATGCTGGCCAAATGAAGGGTCCTGGACAAGTGGCATATGGTGGGACTTTAGAAGCGACATTCAGAGGGCGAGACTACCCATTGAGGAATGATAATATTAGTCTGTCAATGACAGCTCTGTCCTTTAAGAAGGAGACAGTGTTGAGTGGTGGATTTCAGTCTGAGTTTCGGCCAATGCCAGGAATGAGAATGGCAGTTAATGCCAATATAAATAGCCAGAAAATGGGCAAAGTTAGTTTAAAGATGAGTAGCTCTGAGCACATTGAAATTGCTTTGATAGCTGTTTTCTCAATTTTCAGGGGCCTTTTACATGGAAAAGAGGCCGAAATGAGAAGTGAGGAAGCACTGGAGACGTGATTAATCAGTGTTGCTCTTTTTGGGGATAGAGTTTCTTAGATTGGAGAGGAAACAATAGTCAGAAAGCAATTTACTTGCAGAACTAGATGTACATGTTTCAAAGAGTTGGGTTTCGCAAAGGTATTTACCTGTTTTTGTCATTGCAATTTACTTAGAAGCATATTTGGAGGAGGCTGCTAGATACTGATATTTAAATTCTCTCTCTCTTTTTGTTGTTTTTTTTTTTTATGCATACTGCTAGATAGTGATATTATTTTTTGTTTAAACGAGTGATTTGCTTGTTTCTGGTTGACCTAAAAATGTGGCCACCGATCTTTGTAACGAGTAAATGTCTGATATAATTGTACAGGGAACATATCAAAAAATAAGCTGTGTGATTCCTGGAATAAATTTCTTTTTGATCATCCGTATATGAAGTATCTTTGTGATGTTGTCGAGCTTCATTTTGTTGTGCAATATGGTAGCAAATTTATGTTTCGTTCGAGTCTGGTCAAAAATGAAACATGCACTCAATCATAAGATTTCATACTGTTGACTCATTTCATACCACATTCCTAATTTTGTAGGTAGAATTGTCTATGCATATACTTTACTTACACTGATCCAAATGCACACTGGTTGGTAAACTCTAATTGTTGCTTATTCAAATGCTTTTTATAGCTTGGTCTCATAAGATTTGCCAAATTGGTTTGTAATAATATTTTCAGTTTCATATAAATAAAAATGGGTTCAGAATTTTACATTTTTAATTTGATGAAATGAGTTATACTTGCATTAAAAATGCAAACATTAATAAAGATATAAGCTACTTGACTCAATAAGGTCGAGTGCAATTTAATGAAGTTGCATATTCCCTCGTCTTATAATTTTATTCATATTATAATCTGTCAAAACTCACAAATTAAGTGCAAATATCATTTGATAAATTAGTTAGTATAAGTAATTAAATATCAATAAAATAGTAATCCATACAGAGTATAGGACTAATATTTGCAAGGCCTTGGTCTTAAAATCATTCTTCCATTGAAAATTCCCATAAAAATTTTACCAAATAATAAATATTCATCTGCTGTTAGCTACCACTTTTGTTTTCTATTCCAAATACATGTTTGGATAACAAATATGAAAAAGATCTTTGTGGTTAAAACAAATTTATTTCCTTATTAATTTTGCCATCACTTAAAATAAAAAAAAATTTTTGTTTTTGAAGAGTTTTTTTTTTTTTTTTTTTGAAAAAAATTTTTGTTTTTGAAGAGTTTTTTTTTTTTTTTTTTTTTTTTTTTAGATTTTAGCCATTACAAAATTATAATGATTCCCATTTATACTGAGTAATTAATTGTGTAAGCCAGTTAAAATTTATTAATAAACTATTTAAATTTAAAAAAAAAAAACACAATTAAGATTCTTTTAAGCATATGCTATCAAACACAATTAAGATTCTTTCGAGCAAACAGAATATGCCAAGAAATGATGCGCCTCCGAATCCTAAGCCAATTATAAATTTATAATATTCTCGAAGAACATAATCATGGTCACGTGATATAGATTTCAGGTGAATTCAAGTGTGTTTTTTTTTTTTTTTTTTTTTTTTTTTTTGATAAATAAATTTTTTTTTTTTTTTTTTTTTTTTTGATAAATAAATTTTGGATTAAGCAATATTTTTAAAATATAACATTACAATTACGGCATATGTAATTACAATTTGTTTTTCAAATATAACATCACAATTACAACTTAAATAATAACAATAAAAGGAGGGAGATGGAAATTAAAACTAAAAATAATAAAAAGATTTAACGGTTTTAATCTTCTCCTGCAAATTTTAAATATTGGTAAAAATATCACTCAATTGAACATTGTAAATAATAAAAGAATATTAGTATAAATATCACGCCATTGAACATTATAAATAATAAAAATTGTTTTTTAACCTTAGTCAAAATACTAAACAGGGCCTTCTATTATAATGTGAAATTATAAATTAAATTCTAATTAAACTTAATCATTCTGAAATAATCAGTTTACGAATTTAATTGTGAAAATTTAAATAAAACCTAATCAAGTGAAAAACAAAATGAAATTGTGATTGGCAAATTGCTTCAAAATATGCAAAAGTTCATCAATCAAGAATCCATCCAGTTTATTCAACAATTCATATTTACATAAGACCTCAACACATGCATGCATAATTTACACCAAAAGAATTTTTTTAACTTTTTTTTTTTCAACTATAAATTCACTAAAAGAAAAGAAGAAACATGAACATTTGACGAATTTTCAAGGTGAAGATCCCCACAAAACCTCAGCTACAATAGTAGCAGCTTCAGCATCAGAAACAGAAGCTTCTTTAACTCTCTCCAATATTTCTTGCTTAAATGCTCTCTTCTCTCTTTGCCTTAACCCTTCTCCAACCTCTAATTGCACTGCAAATTTTGCCACACAGCCTGCAAATGGAAACCTCTCTAAAACCTTCTTTTCTTTAATCTTTTCACTCTCCTTCTCCTCATCAAAATTACTAATATCAATCAAATCGCTACCAAGATCCAATCTTTGCAATTCCACAAGTTTTTTAATCAACCCTTCTTTAAGCATAGCTTCAATTGCTTCTTTTCTACCAAAATACCCAATTTCAAGAATGCACTCCATTGCCAAAACCCTAATTTGCAAATCTTTGTAATCCAAGAAACAAATAATTTTGGGTATTTCTCCATTTGACTCGATCTCATCCACTAATGGCGATTTAATTAACTTAATTAAAGAACAGAGCACTCTGATTGATTTCCACGAAGCCATTGATACAAGAGCATGTATTAATGGACCCATTAGCACTTGACCCACAAAAACATCTTTATTGAATCGAATCAAAGCTGCAACTACAAAACCACACTGTTCTTTAATTCTTTTAGACCAATTGTTATTATTAGGATCGCAAATAATGTTTTCAAGAATATATAGAATTTTAGACTTAAGAACTAAATCTTGTAACTCGCGATTAAACCCTTGCGAGACTCTGTTTTCAAACTGAGTTAACAAACTCACCAATACCTCCTCGTTTTCGTTCTTCCCAGGCTCTTTCAACGCCGCTGTTAAGCTCTCGATGCTTTCACGATCGATCCAAGCTTGAATTTCTGACTCGATTGACCCCGCGACTCGTGAAATGGAGTGAGTGGAGACTCGGCGATTTAGGAAATTTCTAAAACTGTAACCACGCGATTCTTGTAAAGATTCAATAAGAGTTCTAAGACTGGTGAGATGTTGAGAGAGAGTAGAGAGATTTGGGTCTTTAGAAAGAATAGTATCGGACTCTGTTTCGAGCTCTAACAGAGCTTTAATGGCGGGTGAGTTGGAATCGGTAGATTTAGGAGTGGGATGGAGCTGTAAGTCATGAGAAGCTTGTTTAAGAGCTTCTAGGACTTTAAGGACTCTTGAAATCTCTTCTTTTGATGATGGGTTTTCCATTAGTGGGTAAAGAGAGAGAAAACAGACAGAGTATGAGTCTGTTCGAGAGAGACACAGACTTACATGTTACATATAGATTCAGAGTTTCTTAGAAATGAAGCTCAACGACCAGTCAGAGGGTAACACAGTAGCTCATGAAATTTCAGGACGCCACTTGTTTCTTTTGTTTGGTTTTAGTTTAAATTTATATTTTATATTAACAGAGATTTATATTAGATCTGATATGGTTTTGGTTAGCCAAGAATTTGCTGATTCACAAGCTTTTTGTATTGTGACGTGTGATTAATGAGTGGCTCTTGTTTGGGAGATTTATTTTCACTGTTGAAAAATTTTTAAAAATTAAAATTATTTTGACTAGAATTATTTTTCCTTTTTTCTTTCTATTTTTTGCATAAATTATTTACTCTTTCCGCATAAATGGTTCAACTCTAAAATTTTTAGATATTATAATATTAACTTAAAGTAGTTTATGTTCACTAGATATTAAAAATAAACAAACCTGACATTGAGAGCGAAAATTAATTTATAATATACCTTAAATCGAGGAAATCGACATATCAATATATGAGAAATTCGATCATATAGGGTTTAATTTCAATTCTCAACTCATTGACCTATAACACTACTAAAAAATTTAAAAAACACATTATATAATTGGAAAAAAAAAAATTGCTGCAAACGAGAGAAGTTTGACGCAAGGATAAAACTCAGTCAAAAATTAATTTATTTTAAAAATATAGAAAAATTAAGGTTAAGTATTTAATATTAAAATAAAAGGAGTTAGTTGAAACATAGAAAAATACTAAACGACAAGCAAAGAGGGGCATATTCGGATCGGATCCAAGTATGTGCTCCAGAGTCCAGAACCTGTTTGAAAACAAAAGCGAATAAGCGATTTTCCTTTTGTTAGTTTATATAGTTGTCACGTAATAATAAAAAAAATAAAAATAAAGTGTAATAATAGTGTCCCAGTCCCAGATTCATTTCTCACTGTTTCCTTTGAAAAACTAGACAGTTCCACAGTCGAGTAAATCAATAAAAATAATATTTTTTATTAAAATGAGAATATTTTTAATTTTTTATTGAAATGAGAATATTTTTAATTATATATTGAAAGAAAAAAATAAAATTTGAATAATTTTTAAAAAATTATTATTATTATTGATTTAGTATGTAAACATAACTATGGATACGGTCTATACAAGTACGTTCATTTCCTTTTATGTGGGGTTTGGTTTTAGAGCAAGAGTCCATGAGTTATCATTCATTTTCCTTAGTTGGAACTTTTTCTTTTTCTTTTTCTTTTTTTTTTTTTTGGCAAATTATTTACATCAAAACTAATGAATCAATAAATTTACCTTTTAGGTTTTGCTTTCGCACTTGTTTGGTTAAGGAGAAAATGACTAGATAAATATTAAATGTGAGTCTCACAACATATTTAGAGAAGTATAAAACTAATTATTTATTTGTCCATAAGAAATCATTTAAATAAAAAAAAAGTGAATTAAAAATGTAACTTGGCTTTTTATTAAATCATTGTATATTTTTTTGGATGGGAAAAAAACAATTTCCATTTTCTTATAATTATCATTCATAATCCAATTCCTTAAAGTTGAAGAGCAGAAGATAACTTGGAAAAGGAAAAGGTTGGTTCTACAATAGAATGGAGTCCTCGTTGCATTTCTAGAGTATCACCGTCACCATCATTGATCTTCCTTTCATGACAAAGCCACACCCAATTTTCAAATAATTATTAGTTTCTTTTCTGTTTATGAATTTTTTTTATATTGAATAATGTTTGATTAGACAATAAAAGACTATATTTAAAAAGTTTCATATTAGAAAAAGTAAAAGGAAATTTTACTTATTTGTTTTGTAAATTAAAATCACTATAACAGATTTTTTTTTTTTTTGAAAATGATATAACAAATAATTATTAATTTAACATCATCGGTACTTGTTATTAAAAATTGTTTTTAACAAAAATTTTATATATTTTTTATTTTTCATTAACAAAAAATTTAAAAACTATATAGACTACAAAATGAAATTTCAAAAATTCAAATTTAAAATAAAGATTATGAATCGTGAATTAGATTAAACTTCAAAGAATAAATACAAATTAATTCAAAATATATACTTATTAAGCGTATTTTTATTATCTTATTTATTTTTAATAAAGTTAAACTTATAAAAAAAAATGCAAAGAAAATTTAGAGAACAAATACAAGTTCTCTTTTTCTATACTCTTATAATACAACTTCATATTGAAAGTAGTTTCTTAATTTATGTTTTGCTTTGTCACAGTAAAAAAGAATTAGAGGTCGAATCTATTATTATTTCTGATTCTACTTGTAAAAAATATGTTTTATTTACAATTTTGCTCTTAGTTTTATCTAATTAATTATATAATTCATATTTATGGTTTGTTATATATATTTATTCCTTTTTTTTTTCTTTCCCCCTTTATCACACAACTCAGTCTTTAAAAAAAAAAAAAAATTCAATGCTTCCTGTGGGAAGAGAAACTTCGAATCACATGACATATTTGAAAAAGTAGAATCAATAATTTAGAAATTATTTGTTTAGATTGAATTCTGAATATTAAATCTGAATTTACTATTTTGTTGAGTTGAATAATTAACAACCGATCATTGGATGATTAACCAATGATGCATAATGTAATTTTACTATTATACGATGCAAATTTATCTTTTCATTTACATAGCTCATTGTATCAGCTCTAAAAAGAAATCTTTTTATTCAGCTAAAATTTGATTTGCAAATTCAGATAAATAATTTAGACTTGAAACTCCTTAATATGTCTGCGTAGTTTGACTTTTCGGTGTTTGTTGTATTATCAATTTATTGGTGTTTGTTGTTTTAGGTTTGATTTTATTTATCCATGTTTTTTGTATTTGGGATAAATTTTGGACATATGGGTGTTTGTTTGTTTCTTTTTTTCTTCGAGTTCTGAAAAAGCTTTACCATATTTGGACTTTAGATTAAGTTGTTTGAAGGTTAGACGAGTGGTGATGTGATGCCTGTCATTGCAAGGAGCCTCTCTTATTTTCCAACCTATTAACAAAAGAAAAGTGAATGTTTGGTGGTGCCTAAAAATATATATTATGTATGGTAATTTTCGGTAAAATTAGTTGTTTTTGTTAGTTATCAATTTTAGTAGAGTGTAGTTATTAATTATTTAAGTAACTGTTGTCGAACACAATTTATATAGACCGAACAATTTTCAAAGTATAGAAAATTTTAAAAATATTTTTTAGACAAAATTATTTTATATAAATAAATGAAGCCTTTTTTTTTTTTAAGATATGATTTACACATTTTAAGAGATGGACAAAAACAAAAGTTTTAGTTAAAGTTTTTGTTTTTATATTCAGTATTATATCTTATTACTATGGTCAAAGAATATGTATACGTATTGCATATACGTAACTACAAGGACAAAATGTATTTTAATACGGTTCACAAGAAACATACTTCTAATCAAGGAATATATTTTATGTTAAAAAATTAAAAATTAAAAATCAAATCAAACACTCTCTGTCTCTCAGTAATTGTTATTTAAATATAAAAATTATTTCTTTTTGTTGTATAAAGCCACTAAAAATTATTCTAATATATTTTATGTTCAATTAATTAAAAGAAAATTCCAATTACATTAATTTATTCTGCTTTATATGTAAGATTTTTTTTTTAATTACAAAATAGGATAAAACTCAAAAGAATCAAACAACTTGCCTAAACTAGATGGTTGCAACAAACCCAAACAACTATTATTATTATTGATTAATAATATTATTAATCTTCAAAAAAATTTATATAATACTGTTATTATTATTCCATGTAAAACCGTATATATAACATAAAATTATTTTTTTATATATTATGAATATTGTTATTATTGAGAGTTTTACAAAATCCAATATTAGATTTTTCTATTTAAATGGTAATAAAATATATAAAATTTTAAGAGTTATGTTAATTTTCTAATTAGGATATATATAATACACATAAAAAAAATTGACAAAACTTATTATGGAAACAGTTATTAGATCAACAGATTAATAGGGCAATGATGCAAAAGTCAATGATTTACAGTCCGCAATCCACCATCTTATTTCGCATCTCACATTTATTTATTTGGAGTTTTCTTTTTTCTTTTTTATGCTATAGAAAAATTAAAAAATTGAAATAAAATAATCAGGAAAAATTATATCATATTTTAAAAATAAATTTCAAAAATTAAATATTATAAATTGATAATATATTTTATTTGTATTATTATTATGTATTTCTATGGAAAGCAACTATCAAATACGTAAGTTTTATTTCAATAATATACAAATTTTTTCTCAAAAAAAAAAAAAATCATTCTCAGGATTTCTATATTTGTGTACTTTATCAATTTATCAGTTTATCTAAACAAATATTTAATGAATTTTTTTATACGTAAAAAGAGAAATTAGTGTATTTTTGGGGAAATAAGGGAAAAAAAAAAGACAAAATAAAAATCTGTAATCTTACCATTGCATGATTGGATCCATATATATAATTTCAGGCTTGTTTGTTGTTTCTCCTGTTTGGTGTCGCTATGGTGGGTCCCTGCCTCCGACAAAGAACCAATTGCCTGCAAAGGGAAGCCATAATTATGCACCATCGCACCTTACCATGACATCTGCCAGAACGAAAACAAACAGTTCCTTCTAGCCTACACCGCGCCACTCCAGTTTTTGTTCCCTGCTAACTCACGCATCCCCTGTTCCATATCATCCACCTTATCTCCAACCATAAGATCCATAACGATAACATTGGGTATGTTCATTCATTGACTCTCTTGTCTCTTCTTGCCTGCAAAGATTTGAGGTACCTTGTTTCTCTATATATATGTCCCTCGCTCGCTCTACTGTAATTGTTTATATATGATTAATCTTGTTTTCATGGGTAGTTTTTTTCTTTATTTGTTTTATTCATAATTGTTGGAGACTTAGAAAATATAGAACTGCTTCATTTGGTTATTTCATACTGTAGTTCTTTTGCGTATGTAAATAATATATGGGGCGGTTAATTCTGAAGACAAATTAAAAACTTTGTCTTTTTGTAAAAGTTGGTTCCTTTACTTTTTACTTTTCATTTTGATTTTTGTTGGGACTTCTGGGATGTGATTTTCGAGAGGGTCTGTGTCTTTTTTTGAGTTGAAATGTCAGATTAAGTGGTCAACTGAATAAAGATTTGAAGATTTGGGATTTTAGAGTTAAGGTTATTAGATTGTTGGATTTCGAGATTTGGGATGTAAGGATTAAGATTGTTAGATTGAATGTTGATTCTTTGTTTCTGTGGTGCAGGTAGTTAAATATATTTTCACTGGATGATTGATTAATAATCTGGCCAGAAGTTACTAAGATGAAGTCCACATTTCTTCAATGCTTATTGGCATTCATTTTATTTTTGGGATTTGTGAACATTGGAAATGCGGGAATCACAAGTTCTTTTATTCGGTCTGCGTGGCCATCTACTGACATCCCTCTTGATAATGAAGTATTTGCTGTTCCAAAGGGTTATAATGCACCACAACAAGTAAGCACTATATATATAAGTGCAGATTTATGCTTTTTCATTCTCCATAATACTTGATGATATTGGTTAGAGACAATGCCATCAATGACGGACACAAAGTGGGGCTGATGAAGAATATTTTAAATATTTAGATTTATCTAACATGTTCCAAGTGAAGGTTTGAGATGTGTATCTCCTGAATGGTGGTTAACCCCTCAGAAAAGTATCTCGTTTGATATGAATTAGCTAGCTAATATAGTTATTCTATGCTTTATGTTTCAAGTAGTGCTTTTAATTGTGAATTATTAGTAAACAAGTGATTTGCAAATTGAGAATGAATATTTATCAAAATATTTATCTGTTCATGATCATATTCATATTTATCTGTTCATGACCATATTTGAGTCCTTGTCGAGTTGTAGTGAAACTTTGAGACTTGTGAAGATGTTTATGAGATAAACATGATCCGGAAAGCATACAGAAATATTAATTGATACCAGATAAAGCCACTACCTACCTATAAAAATCACTCTACTTTCCAACCTTCAGTGTGTTTCTCTGAAGTGCATAGACTTACTCCTGCTTTAACTAAAAATATTACATTTGACAATGATGGCTAAGATGTGAGAATGAAAAACAGAGTAGGAAAGAAAGAAATGGCTGGGTGCATGCATGTGTATTTTCCATGTCAAGGCTTACACCTATGATATATATTTTACTGATACACTTAATAAGTATTCTTTATGTCATTGAATATATAAAGTATTCTTTGTCTGTTAATTATTGTTGAATAGAAACTGTGCACATAAAGTAGCATCATTTGCGTCGGACACGATGACATTATGCTTTTTGCTTGTTTGCAAACCTGTAAAACTAAATTATATTCTCAAAGATCTCATGACTTCGATTGAGAATGTTTCTAATTGTTGTAAATTATAATCAGTTGATGATCGGATAATACGACCGCTTTCTAATTATGCATATATGATGTTTCTTTTATTGTCACCTCTTTATCAGCATTTTTGCGGTTTACTTTAACTGCAGGTGCATATAACCCAAGGTGATTACAATGGAAAAGCTGTAATTATCTCATGGGTGACACCTGATGAACCTGGGTCCAGCAAAGTGCAATATGGCACATCAAAGAAAAAATATGATTTTACTGCTGAGGGGATAGTGAGAAACTATACATTTTACCAATACAAATCTGGATACATTCATCATTGCCTTCTTGATGGCCTTAAGGTAATGTATGGTTGACCAATGGAAAAGCGCCGGGCTATATTCATGCATAGCTTAATTTTCTTGAAACAGGAGCAAATTGCTAGTTGCAAGAAGTTGTGTTATCTATAAACAAGACACCCTTGCATAAACTCAGTGCATTTATAAATTATCATTACTATTTATTACTGTAAATAAGTTATGGAATACACGAGTATGACTTTTAGACAACTAGTTTTGAATCTAAAATCGCCATTAACGTTAATCAGTTTTTACAAATTGCTGATTGATATGCCACCAATTAGGGGTTTCTGGTCACTCTATGGTTTTCTGAATTAATCACTTGGTTTTTTCTTGTTTTCAGTATGACACCAAATATTATTACAAGATTGGGGATGGTGATTCTTCTAGGGAATTCTGGTTTGAAACACCTCCAATAATTAATCCAGATGTTCCTTACAAATTTGGAATAATTGGTGAGTTATTCCCTCTGTACAAAGTCATCTAAGGGCAATCTTTAATTTTTCCGTTTAAAAGAATATAATATTGATCTGCATTGAATTTTAAGTATTTGTTATTTGTCGCAATCTAAATGGAATTTAGAGTATCATAGTTTCAGGTTTGATATGTTATGTTATATGAAATACAATGATGCCGATTCTAGAAAGAGCTAGAATATTCAGATTGCTGGAACTTGAAGAAAATTAGATCTTTATCAAAGTTATTTTGCCAAATCAAAACAATTGCCTGTGACACAGAGTCATGTAATACAACTAATGGAACATCTCATGAATTGTTTGTTTTTTGTCTTTTAACTAACAGTTAGAAGTTACCAAAACTTGGATTAGAACTTTAATTTAGTTTCTTTCATTATATTTTGATATTTGCTGAAATTTAATTTTGAAATGTTATTCCTATATATATACTCATTGGCAATCTATTTTATACAGCCTTAGTCATTGCTTCTGATTTTTTTTCTTTCTCCTTGTGTCTCCTTATCCTTTGTCCGAATCAATTATCTTTATGCATCTCTCATCTTTATTATCAAATAATGGCTTAACCTACAAAAATATCCCGAACTTTGCAACCTGTATAACATTTGTCCTCCTGACACCTCAACTTACAAACTTGGATATATTGTCACCCAAATTCAAATTTGACAGAGTATAGAATCAAATGTTATAAAGTGGTACTCACCATGTGGCTATTAGCTTGAGTTTAGTTTCATCTTGGGTGCAAGAAATGTGTCCCCTTATGGGATAATTAAAAAAACGGCGCATTTTTTAGCCTTGGATTAAGTTAACCTTGTGGGTCCCATTTTATAATATTTTACTCAAAATCTAGGTCAAATATGAAATTGGGGTGTCAATATATCTAAGTTTCTAAACTGGGATGCCCGAGGTACAAAGGTCAAAATAGAGTGATTTTATAACAAGTCGCAAAGTTCAGGGTAATTTTGTAGTTTAAGCCTTAGATGATTGGTTTGATGAACTTTGCAACTCTTATCTGAGTTACTACTGAACTTCTAGAAAAGCATTACCTGTAACTCCATAATCATGCTTATTTATATGCATTCATCTAAAAACTCAACGTGGTTTGTGTAAATCATTTTGATATCGTTGCACTAATCAGTGGCTCCATGTGGCAGGTGACTTGGGACAGACCTATAATTCCCTGTCTACTCTTGAGCATTTCATGCAGAGTAAAGCCCCGGCTGTATTATTTGTTGGAGATCTTTCTTATGCCGATAGATATCAATATAATGATGTAGGTATACGATGGGATTCATGGGGTCGTTTTGTTGAGAAAAGTGCAGCATATCAGCCGTGGATGTGGTGTGTTGGAAATCATGAAATAGAGTACATGCCGTACATGGTAAACTTTTAGACTATTTTATCATTTCTAAATTACTTCAATATGAATATTATTAATCTCTTTAGTTACTTGTCAATACTATAAGATCTTTTAGAATGATGTGCTTCTTGTCCATAGAAACATTGCACAGTGAAACAGTAACCATCCTATGATAATTTATAGGCTTTTGTTCCTCCTTTTGTTGCCGTAGTACTGCTGTTCTTGTGTGGACTGCTGTTCTTGTGTGGTATCGTGGAACAATCTCAAGGACATAGTCAAAGGCTCAAAGCTTCATTTAACACTTTTTTTGTTTTGTTTTTTTTATTCTTTCTTGTTATGTATTTCTACATTGTGCATTCCATGGAGGACACATTAACTAAGAGTTGCCTAACCGAAGATATTGCTGGATCATCAGAAAAAAAAAAAAAAAAAAAAAAAAATTATTGTAATTGTCTAACATTGTGGTGCATTCCATGGAGTGACACTATTAACTAAAGAGTTGACCTAACCGAAGATTAATTGCTGGATCATCAGAAAAAAATAAAAAAGAAAAAAAAAAAGAATGGAAAAGGGTTTTTTTATGGTGGAAGTTGTTACTTGTAGGGACCTGCAGTCTGATTGATCCCTGATAAAATTGCAACCATTTCTATCATTTTTACAAGAAAGGACGGTTGGTGGCATGGGAAAAATTATGGGACATGAAAAAAGACATGGGGGCTGGATCATAGCGCTCATGATCTGTGTCTTCAATCATCTGAATTTGCTTCCTGGTGGGTCTGATAGATTTATTTTTTGTTATCTTTAATTGGGCCCAAGTTACAATTGACATTTGGCAGTAGTCACAGTGGTATGCATGTATAAAATACGATTAGAAAATTATAATCATTGCTCTGGCGATTTTTTAAAGTTATAAGTTTTGTTTTATCAGATTGTACAGTAATTTGATTTCGCTGCTTATTAAGGGTTACATTAAACCGTGTCCTATAGCAATAGTAAATGATGTGATTGACAGTTAGTATATCTTTACTGGGAGCTAATGCTCCAAAATCTTTTGAATGTGGCAATAAATCCACCAGTTATGCAGGAGGAAGTGTGTTCCTTTCAAAATCTTATCTTCAAAGGTACCGCGACCCCTTATTCTGGCCCTCGCAATAAGTAGCAGTTCCTCTTCTGGTGATGCGCTATCTCAGTAGACGTGCAGTTCACTGCGATGCACAATAATTGTGTATCCCAGCTATTCTCCCTTTTATGGGGTAACTTTTCCTTCCTTTCTCTTGACTTTCACTAATCAATTGGAAAAGTCATTTGCTCTGTAATGTACGTTCACTTTTTCTCATTTCTAAAGAATAACAAACTAAATCAGGTATAACTAACAAAATCAGTTTCATACTGCTCCTCTTTTTCTGTGGTTAAATTGTCTGTGATTTAAGAGTAAAAAGCAGATGAAAATAACAATCTACAGCCCAATGGCTTTGGCCATTCAAGGAGAATTAAACTCAAAAAATGTTTACGAAGGGGAGAGAGACACCTCTTGGGCTCATTGTTCTCATTTCACGCATTGTCCCCACCTTTAAGACAACACAGTAAGTAGAGGAAAGCACACTTCATGGAAGGGTGAAACAGGCCATGCGCGGTAGTCCCTTTGAGAAATGGTATCACTAGCGCCGTTAACGCAAAGTGTGAAATCATAGATATTTTGCTGATTCTGATTTAGAGCGGGCGTATGTTTCTTAAATCTATATTATTTTATTCCATGTATCTATCCTGGAACCGAACCTCTACATTGATTTTGTTGTGCTAATTAATGGAAGCTAAGTATTATATAGTTTACCTCCCTACATTATTTTTATCAAGTATCGGATCTCACATACATTTTACACATAATTTGAAGTGGTGACCGAGTTGACTCGGGTTGTCTAATACCAGGACAAATCTGCCCCCCTGTTTAGAGTCCAAATATTACGTGGGTTGGAGATGGGAGGATAATGCAAGGAAGGATACTTCGCGTGAAAGTATATATGCATAATTGCCAATGAGGAGGAAAAGAGGAGTCCCAAAAATTACAATGAATGTGCTAATGTGCATGTGAAAAAAAAAAAAAAAAAAAAAAAAAGATGAAAAGGGTTTTTTATGTGGAAGTTGTACTTGTAGGACCTGCAGTCTGTGATCCCTGATAAAATGCAACTATTTCATCAATTTTACAAAAAGACGGTGGTCATGGGAAAAATTATTGGACATGAAAAGACATAGGGCTGGATCATAGCGCTCTGTCTGTCTTCATCATCTGAATTTGTTCTGTGGGTCTATAATTTATTTTTGTTTCTTTATTGCCCAAGTTACATGACATTTGGCAGTAGTCAACAGTGGTATGCATAGTAATATAGTTCAGCGATTAGAATTATGTCATTGCTCTGGATTTTTTAATATTTTTTTTATTCAATTGTACAAGTATTTGCTGCTATTAACTTTGTACAAATGTCTTAGCAATAGTAATTTCTTGTTTAGCTCCAAATCTTTTAATGTATAAACATATGCAGGAGGAAGTTGTTCCTTTCAAATCTTATCTTCAAAGGTACCCGACCCCTTATTTGGCCTCCAAAAGTAGCAGTCCTCTCTGGTATGCTATCAGACGTGCATCTGCTCACATAATTGTGTTATCCAGCTATTCTCCTTTTGGTAACTTTTCCTTCCTTTCCTTGACTTTACTATCAATTAGGTAGTCATCCTGTAATGTATTATTTTCATTTTAAGAATACAAACTAAATCAGGTATAAAAAATCAGTTTCATCTGCTCCTCTTTTTTTGGTTAAATTGTGTGATTTAAGATGAGATTCTTTTAAATTTGAACAGTGAAATACACTCCCCAATGGCTTTGGCTCAAAGGAGAACTCAAAAATGTTAACAGGGAGAAGACACCTTGGCTCATTGTTCTCATGCATGTCCCACTTTACAACAGTAATGAAGCACACTTCATGGAGGGTGAAAGCATGCGAGTAGTCTTTGAGAAATGGTTCATCCGTTACAAAGTTGATATAATATTTGCTGGCCATGTTCATGCCTATGAGAGATCAGTATGTTTCTTAAATTCTATTATTTTCCATGTTCTTCCATTAGGACAACTAACACATATAATTTGTTGCTTTAAGGAAGCTAAGTCTTTCCTCCTCTCTTTTAAAAATTTCAGTATCGGATCTCAAATATTCACTACAATATTTCAAGTGGTGACCGTTACCCTATACCAGACAAATCTGCCCCCGTTTACATTACCGTTGGAGATGGAGGAAATCAAGAAGGTCTTGCTGGAAAGTAAGTATAATTGCAAGAGGAGGAAAAAGATCAATTACAATGATGTCTAATGTCATGTGAAAGATTCAACAAGAAAACCAAAGTTACTTTCAATATTAAACAATTGTTCCGTTGCATCTGTAGGTTCAGAGATCCGCAACCAGATTATTCCGCATTCAGAGAAGCTAGTTATGGGCATTCAACATTGGAGATAATGAATAGGACTCATGCGATCTACCATTGGAACCGCAATGATGATGGTAAAAAAGTGCCAACTGATGCATTTGTATTGCACAATCAGTACTGGTAAGTACACCGTGCCTATTTTGGCCATTGGTCGACAATATAGCAGAAAAATTCAAGTTTTCTGGCACATGTCAGCCAAAACAAATGTCGGTTAAATTCCCTTCTTGCTACATAAGGCAATGCCAGGCATAGCAGGAGGTTGAAAGGCTTTAACATACAAATACCGAGATGATAGCTTTTATGTGTGTAATCGCGTGTCAACAATACTGATGTTAGGGAAAATGCAAGAGCTTGCTTATATGTTAAGATGGCATTTAGTTATGAAACAATGGTCTTCACAATGAGAAACGGAAAGAAACCAAAAACTGCTCTCTCTGTAGATTGTAATATGTGCATAAATGGAATTAGTGCAAAAATTTGTATTAATGATGAGAATTTATAGTAAAAGTGAGTTGTGTCTGCGCAGGGTAAGTAATCAGAGACGGAGAAAACTGAAGAAGCTTCATCTGAGGAATATTGTAGGCTGGATCGCTAATCAGCAGTGATAAGATTTCAGTAGCCTTGAAATAACGCTTTCTTGAAGCAAATGTTTCAGGAAAGGCTAGTGAAGCTTATCAGCAGTGTTTCAGGAGGCTAATGAAGCTACAAGAACAATTGGGGCAACCTGTATATCTTTAAAACGTGTTAAGTAAGCTGGCTTTCTTGTATAATAAATCACTCTGGGTAGCTTTCTTGGAATAATAATGTTGAATTGCAGAAAATTATTGCCTTTCTTCTCTGTACCCTTTATTTAAATCGAAATCCATTATTCAAAAATAACTTGCATAATGCCACGTGTTACTTGGAACTCTGCGCAGTTCTTTTACATATTATTTTAGTTAATTAAAATGAAATTCTTAAATAAAAAAAAAAATTCTTTAACATTAAGTTACTACAAGAATTACTACAAAGAGTTGAGCATTTTAATAGAATTCATTGCATACAGTGATAATATTCTAAATGACATTCATGAAGACAACTCCAATGCTGCTTCAGTCAACCAACAAAATTTTATGACAGCAGCCTTCTAGTTTTAAAAAGATTATTGATAGAATAGCGAATGAAATGATATTGAGAATATTGCATAAACTGCAGTATATAAAAAGCATTACAAAACGGTCAAAAAATCAGATGATACCTTGCAACATTTCTGCCCCCTACCCCGCATAAGAAATTGACGTAAAGGGTGTCCGCAGCTCACGAGACTACCCAATTGGTGTTGATCTGCCCTCTCAAATACTTGACTTGTTGCCTATTCTTGAAAAAATAGTTATGTACACTAAGGGTTTGCTCTCACATATACATAGTGCAAAATTTATTGATAACTAAATATGCACTTTAAGTGAAAGCTAGTGATGTTTCTCTTTATGGATCTATTCTGTGGGTTTAAAAAGAGCCTCAGGCTGCCTGCAAAGTGCCACTAATCTGCTATTTAAACAAGGATTTGTTCAGGAATCACGGTAGATAGGTTGTGGCATCCACTTGAGGTTCAGATGTAATGTTCCAGATTTAGCCCCATCAAGTGGAAACTGGTCTCTGTACTCTCCTTCCAGAATAACCCTTGTCAATGTCAGGATGCATCTTCCCATATAGTCCTGCATGATCATAAAATATATGAGACTGTGAAATTCAAGTTGCTTTTTCCTTTGTCTTCCTTTTGTCTTTATAACAAAAGAAAAACATCAACAAAAACATCCACAGCATATGGCAAGCACATGAATGCAGAGGTGTATGGAATTTGATTCCAGAGTCGCTAGTTTGATCAATATTTGAACAGTATAGAGTGAATAGAGAGATAATCAGTAGTATTGGCAAGTGAGTGTGCTCCTCATGTAAATTATTAGGCTTTGATTCAATATAACAGACTGTAGAGAAAATTTTTCCCAAAGAAACACATAAAAAACTAAATATCTACCTGAATTCTCAGAGCTTCTAAAGCAAAACTCAATAGGGATGATCTCCCTGTTCCAGTGAGAAACAGCTAAATAAATACATCAAATAGTTTTTACCTTGCCAAATGTGTCATGATCCCAAACTTCAACAATCAACATATCATGTAGTCCATCCTCAACAACAAAGTCAAAGGTTTGGTTCCAAACAGGGTTCAAACTGTCATTCACAACCTGAAAAAAGAAGTGCAAGGCCACAAGGGACATTTGCACAGGCACATGAAACCTTCTTATGGATGAGTACCTTCCTTTTACAACATTGAGAATTGCAAAAAATATAGCAACAACTAAAAACAAAAGGCGTTATACTTGTAGAGAAATTATAAACACATGCTACTAAAAATAAAAGAAGAAAGAACCTTTCTGCAATTTGAGGAGATTGTTAAAAACTTTAAAATCCTCAAAAAAAAATCACAACCTTAGATAGGCAAATTCCTAGTATTAACTGAAGAGGAAGCACATGAATTTCCAAACAATCCTCCCAGTAGTAGTTGAGCTTGGGGGATTCCAATTAGCACTTATGGTCCAATTTATATTTCTTCTCATGGGCATAGCTGATTCCGAATTGAGATTTGAGTCCAAGCCCATCTAGCAGAGGAGGACCTCTCAGCAACTACTGTTCTTCTTTTAACATTATGAAACTTGATAAGTAAATTTTTTACATTTTGTAGAGTTGTTTTGCAAATAATGTAGCCTCGAAAGACTTATTTGGCTTTCTGTTGAATAAAGAACTCTGGTGTGATAACTTAGGATTCAAGTCTGCATCAACATCCTAGGTTCAAAAAATTGTGGTTTAGGATGGAATAGGCATTTATGAAAAGGACGTCTATTTCTTGCATGGCCTGCAACTATTTCCACTTGATGAAACTATCCTAACAAGAAAATTTGTGAATGAACACTAAACGGGAAAAAGAAAATTGAATAGTAATAAAAAGCCTACATTTGTTTAGTCAGAGGTTATACAACACTCAAACAGAAAATTCATATAAAAAATTAGATGTTATTAAATTCAAGGATAAGTCCAAATAAATCCTAAATTTCTGCTTCCTTAACTGCAGTACTTACCCTGGTTTTGTTCCTTGTTTCTGATTTCTTCATTGTGAGGACAACATAGGGATCAGCCTTTCCCATAAAATCTACCACAGGCAAATCTTCAGCAGATATAATAGTTACAGAAAGAACTCCTCTAATAATCACATCCCTTCTCCTTCGTGTGACTGATTTTCCATTTTCAGTAACTTCCATCCCATCAGCTCCACTTTTAAGAACCTTCTCCAAGGAGGTCATCGAATAGCTGGGAGCAAAGGGGTTGGTAAAGCCATTCCCCATGCCAAACGGATAGTACAAAAGCTCCAAGTGAACCTAAAATCATATAAAATGATACTGCCATAAAATTTTTTAGCATTTAATGATAGACAATTTTTTTCTTTAGAGAAATGAACTAAAATAATCATCAACAAATAGTTTGTCAGAAGTTCTCATATTAGCCAAATTGATTTCCCAAGCTTGAGCTGAAATCAGTTCCATCAATTTTTAGCAAAAAGAATAAATGCTTCAATTCATGAAATCCAATTGGTTCTGGCCATTTAATCGTTCAACTCCAACTAATAGGAACATTCAGCTAGATAAATTTATTCGCTAACCAAAGGACTGATAAGAAAGGATAACAATAAAGATGGAGAAAAGAAAAACAAAACGTTTCCTAGTTATTAAAGGAAGACCAGATCACCTGTCCCCTGCTTTTATTATCCCTATGGACCTCCAAATCTTTAACTAGCTTCAACCACACATCCTTCACTTTACCGGGCTGAAGCTCCCTTAGCGGCACTTGAGCACATCCAATGAGCTCAGATGCCTGCAGTGGCCCTTCGTCATCAAAGATCTTTACCACCAAGTGTTGAGTGGATTCATCTTCAACAATGAATTCAAAGTGTTCATTCCAGATTGGACTCAGATCATTGTTCTGTGAGGGGAAGACCAAGAAATTTTGTTTAGGTCGAGTTAAATAAAGAAAAATAGACAAGATATATTAGGATATCCTACAATAATTTTACTGGTTTTTGTTCTGTCACGCAGAGGACGAATGCATAATTCAGCATAGGGATCTGATTTTCCAATTATGTCTTTGTTTGTCAACTCCTTTGCTTGCACAAGCTTCACTTCCAGTGTGCCAACAGGCTTTAACTCCAGATCACTGAACAACCAAAAATATTAATTATTAGCTTTTTCCATGGATTGTTAGAAATAAAGATCATAGAAAATAACAAGCAACCACCAAAACCCCAATCCTACTTCCCCTCATTGATCAAAAGAAACCAGTAACACTTTTCTAAACTTCCCAACTCAACTGTTACTGAAATACCTGTAGTCCCCAGGCACAATTGGGATAACTTTGCGAACAGGCCAAGTGATTGAATCTTCAACGGCATCCCGTATTGTCCGCTGTATTAGGTAAATATATTATTTCATTAGACCTTCGATCATTTTATCACAGAAATCAGAAAACTGGAACTCAGGTTATTGTCCTAATATGAAAAAAGAAATTCAGCCTCCACTACCACCATTATACACAACAACAGAAGCAACAGTCTTCATATGTATAAATGAAACCAACAGGCTATTCACAGATAAATAGTTAATAAACGTTTACACTAAGTCAACACGCTTTTCAGGTTTGTGATCCAAGGTATCCAAAAACAACCAAAACCTTTTAATGTTGATAGATGCCGTGCATGTTATACAAAAAAAAAAAAAAAACAAAAAACAAAAAATCTGTTCCTTGCATGCAAAGTTGAAAATTGTCTTAGGCTGAGGAATTCCTTGTGGAAAATGTCTATATAATAACCCAAGCCATCACATTTCAGATTACAGGAAGTGCAATAAATCCTGAGCAAATAATCTCTTGGAGCAACTTATGTTCAAGCCCTGGTACCATTAACATGATGCTTTGTCAATAGAGAAATGAGAAAATACAAGTCATACATCAATATAGCATTTCCAAGATAAAATTGTGAGGCAATGGTCTTCTAGATTTACTTAATTGAACAAGAAATTAGCAAGCATTTGAGAACACCCCTCTTTTCATAAACCTCCAATCACAACTCAATGGATCCAGCAACAAACTTTACAAGTTAGGGCCATAATTTAAGAGACAAAGAAGTGAAACTCCACAATCCTATCTTGAACTCAAAGCATTTAGTTTACAACATGGCTGGAGCCTGGAGCATTTGTACTCTAATTGTAAAACTTTAAGATCTAGAAATGAACGTCTGATTTACAATGGAGGGAGAAATATTCATTTTGCTAACTGTAATAACAAATAAACGCAGATAACAAGAAGTTACAGTCAGTGAAACATCAATGCATTATCATATTATATGTTTGTGTCAGAAAAGGCAATTACTGGTTGCACAAACCTCAATAGCATCACTAATTCCAGGAATTGCTGATATGTCCCCACCAACAACTTTAAGTGTGAAATCCAACTTTTTCTGCAAACCAACAACCAAAGTCCACCAAACATATGAGTTGCTTGTCTGTGTGTGTCTGCATGGGCATATGCACATGAAAGCATACGTGTGTGGAAAAGCGCAAAGACGCATGTGTTTTTTACTTCAAATCCACTTCTTTATGTTTCAAAAACATCCTGTTTGAGATTTGGAAATTTTCTCATATATGCATATAACAATATAATAACTGTTAGGATTTGACTCAAAATCCATGTGGGATTTTAAAAAAGAACTTTTGCATTCATGGGGGAAAAAAACTTGAATTATTTCATGTTCACAGTAAGATTATTTCCTATGTGATGTTATAACTCATATTTTAGACTAATTCCTAATTGATATGGATCCATAATGAAGTAGAATTAAAGGGAGGACCATTGTGTTTGTTGTTTTTCAGAGAATGTGGGAGAAAATCAAGACATAGATGTTTTATCCATATAAAGAAGTAGAAATTAAAAAAATAAAAAAAGGGACCTTACAGGTTATCATTGAAAAAGAGTTGAGAACCATATAAATTGATAATCTGTGTTTGTCGATTTGATTGCATACTGCTGCATCCCAATTTAATATTATTAATAGATAAACTTATAACATCTCAGAAACTTGTCATTAGCTTGACATATTAGGAGCAAATCAGATTCAGTCTAAATGTTCTACTTCAATTCATTAATAAGAAAGCTGCTTGCTTCATTATAAAACGTGATAATGTCTGCAGGCATTGCATGTGCATATGTTTTTTATATTGCATCCCAGTCAAAACTCTTCCTTCCTGTGTGTTCCAGCATGTGTTCGTGTTGTGCATGCATGTCTAAATATATCTTTCCTATCTCATAAATCATAAGCTTCCAAAAAACTCAAAGATACCGCACCTTTTGCCTCAGGGAATAAGAAACAGCTCCAAAGCAAGGAAACTCATCGACTAGCGGCTTAAAGATCAACCTGAAAACCCCAGTAAATCCAATATCTTTCACCTGAACAGAAGAGAAGAAAAGAATAAAGCATAGTTCACTAGAATAAATAATAAAGAATAAAGCATAATAATAATAATAATTCACTAGGAGGCAAAAAGGAAGTCAAGCCAAAAGTTGAAGAAGTTTCCATCTACAAGATCGAAAATCCAGGTGGCACCAGAAATGCTACAAATCCATAAAAAGCTTCACACAATACCAAAGTGTAAAGTATTTATCTTCTAGAATGAGGAGAAACAATTCCTCTCTCGAATGTTATCGACTTCCGTGTTCTCCTTGCAACATAAAAAGGTGGGAGAGACAATTGCTAAAATACCTTTCCAAGCCTAAAACTCATATTCTAAGAAAAGCCACAGCAGCCTAACTAAGCCAAATCCCGTAACCATCTTGCCCAAGAATAACGAAGTAAGAAACAAAGAGGTGGCATAGCAAAGCAACTGCACTTTCACATAAATAACATCTACTAGCCTTCGTTGTCCCCCAATTTCTGGACTTCCCAAGCCAAAAAAAAAAAAAAAAACATCCTTCATTGGAGAATCTTCCACAAACTAAATTCCTATTGCCTTTTCATGGGAAGCTAATCATGATGTTACTTATACTCTCACTGTGAATAACATACTGATTTAATATCAAAACATCTTCCTTTAACAAGCCTCCAACAGGCATTATCTTTTCTTTGCATATTCTATGCCATCTTACATATAATGGGGCAAAGAAATGAAAGTAGAGTCATTGGCAAAGGAAGTGCAAGAGACTATGAGAAGCCCCCTTCCCAACCCCCTAGCTCTTCTTCCATAAATAAGTCATTTGGAATCCCTTTTCTTTATTGCTTTAGAGAACATTTTACTGAGGACTTCATGCACCAAGAAAAGTAAGAATGAGATGGCAAATAATATGAATCTCCATGGTCTAAACCCCATTTGCATGGATAGAGAACAAAAGGATAGACAACCCCGGCATCCACTTACACAACGATGCATCAAAACCCACTCTCTATACAATACAAAGGAGCACGTCCAACAAACATGATTATAGGCTCTCTCTAACAAGTTCACAAATTATCGTTTTTTCCCAATAGTTGATATTCGCACCCAGAACTTTTTTTTATATGCACAGAATCAAGGGTTCCACCCTCCAAAAGAAAGCAATTTTGAAATAGACTTGCAATTGCAGATGACCTTTTTCAATTGCAATGCGAGAAATTTGGATATCAGATAATACATGCTTCCCACAAGATTAAAAGGCTGTAAGTCTTAGCTAAGTTCAATTATCACAAAATCCTCAATTTCATAAATCAGCAAATATCCAAAAGGTTACCTGCACAGGCAAGGAAACTCCAAGTCTAGTCTTAATATCAAGTACTATACTTGGATTCCCATCCCAATTCATTTCCAACTCCATTGTAATGCCACTTCCTCCACCATCTTCAATAATAGAAACTCCTGAACAATAACATTGAGTTGTAAGAAGCTGAAGATGGATAGGGATCACTAATTTGTACAATTTTAGACAACCAAAGATATCACACAGCAACATCCTATTTTTGCTGATATGCTAAAGTAGATCCCCAGGTGGAATGGGCAAGAAAATTCACTGCAAACAAATCTCCCAACAGAAGCTCATCCAGCTCAGGTTAGCCATTTGACCATCATACAAAAGCCAAACAAAAATTGCTACATATATCTCTAATTGCAAACGAGTATTAATGAAGCATGTTTTTCAAATTAACATCAATACATGAGAATAGTTGGAACTCAGTTGCAAAAATATAAATTAAAAATTAAAATCTAATATTATTTTGATACATTTAAATGAAACCAACCTGTAAATTGTGGTGCAACAGTTCCAAGAGTGAACTTGGAAAATTTAAGAGAAGACAGTATAATTGGTCTATATTGCTCAAGAACAGGCTCCACCGAAGTCTTTATCAACTCAGACGCTGCCTATCGAAACAACACGACCATGATATTTATTTGAAGTTGCCCATTAACTAAAACCCGTTTCTTCTCACGATACTTAACTATTAAAACCCAGAAAGGCTGAGGCAAAAGCATTAATCCATTAAAGCGAAAAAGTGAAACCCAAAAAAAGTCAATACCTCATTGACATAGGGCCAGATCTTTGTGAGTTGAAGATTAAGCCAATTCAACTGAAAAAAAATGCAAAGCCAACAAACATAACCAAATTAGGAACCAAAAGACAGATCCTATTCATATAGATAAATACTATAAAGAAACAGAGTAGGTAAGCAAATGAGAGGACTCAACTTCTGGCGCTGGGAGAAAACAACCCATGAAGGGTAGTACTCAGCAGGCAAGATCTTTCTAGAATCCTCCACCGTCATTCTCGCAAACGCAGCAATAGTAGTTGCCTGAATTAATCCACCACCAAAATAAAATTCTAAAAAAACACAAAATGGAAACTAAAAACAATTTAAACTATCAAGTATACACAACACTAACAAGCTCAGAGCGAAGCTTGGATCGGGCATTCTCTGACCGCACAAACCCAATGATCAAAGCAAGACCAACGACTATCCCAATAACCAGACCAACAAAAAACGACATTTTTACTGGGTTGATGATCAATACAGAGACAACAAATTCAATTGCGAGAAACGAGAGGAGACAAGGGATTGGTCTGGTTTGCGTGGTTGTTGGAGAAATAATGATTTGTTGGAGGCTTGGAGCTATTTAGCTTAATATGTTATTATGGGTTTAATAGCGGAGATTAAGAAGCTTGGTGGGGTCTGATGTTAATGGCGATTTTGATTGGGGAATCGTTGTAAACGAAGATACTACTAGGCGGACATACCAGACTTCATAGAAAGAAAGTGCTTTAGCAAGAAAGTAAGTGAAAGGTCGTTGCCGACAAAAAGCCGACTTCCAAATTCATCATTTCTATATGTTTTTGTTGTTTTCCGGACATGAATTAATTTGGACATTGCTTCGCGTAATACAAGCTTCCATCTGTAAGATCGTAATGGCGAGTTTAAACTGTAATTACCAGTGTATTTTGGACAGCTCAGCGTCATTAACGACTGCGATTTGACTACTTTAACTAATTAATTTTTTTTATTTGGGAAAGGCAAAGAAAAAAGTGAGGGTCCACATAACATAAGATAACACCGACTGCGTTTTTCATGTTTTTTACTTTTTTTGTCAACGAAATAAATGATTATTTTCTTTATTATATACTTCTTAAAAAAATAATTTAGTGATTGATAAAGAATATTTTTATAGAAAATTTTCACTTTTAATATTAAAAATATGCTAAAAATTTAAAAACTAAATTCAAACTTTAAGTTCATAAAGATATATATGTTGCAAATAAATATTGTTCCTTAATTAGAAGGATTCATCCTAATTTTTTTATCCAAAAATTATTAATAGTAATAATTATAATTCCAAACAAACCCTTATTTACATCTTATTCGAAATAAATATTATAATTTATAACCAACAAAAATAATGATTATGTTGAATGAATCTAAAACAAGGGGTAGATTAATTTTTATAAAGGCCAAAAAAGTGAGTTGTAAGGAATTTGGAACTTTATATGTATAGAAAAGAAGAAGAATCATGAAAAGAGTACAATAGCATTTTGAGTGAGAAAAATAAAAATTGAATATTACAGATATTTTTTTCTGTATATATATTTTCATAATTGATCGTGAATCAGATAATACTCTTTCAACAGTAGCAGTTTTATATTTATATTTGAATTTCTAACTTTACTGTTAAAATTTATTTGAGAATATAATTGACTTCTATTTATTGAACTGTTTGCTGACAGTAGAAGTAAAGTTTGTATATTATATTAGCAAAGAAAATATCAATTAAAATAGAGGAAAAAAAGTAAATATGAATGAAAGGAAAATAAATAGAAGAGAAAATAAAAATAAATTCTAAAATCTTAGAAAATGAGTTTAGTACCCTAACTTTTAAAATGGGTCCAACTCATAAGCCAGTGCATGTTCGTTTCCTTGGCAAGAATAAAGGAAGTACTTTTGTTATTGGGATTGATTTTATTTATTTTTTATATATAATATTGTTTATTTTGTAAATGGATTCGTGCACATGCACTAATTATAAAAAATATTATTTCACCAATTAAATTATAAAGCAAATTGCTATTTAGATATTTTTTATTAATGAAAATTCTGTAAAAAAAAAATACCAATTTGAAGACTTTCAGCCTTTTGAGTTAATATTTGGAAGCTACATTCTTATCAGCAGTCGACGTAATGAATCTAATTGTAGTAGAAGGATGTATCTATTGTACAAGGCTGCAGGCTATCAAAGAGTCAACGAATGGAGATTATATAATTCGGTTTGGGCTGACCAAATGCAATTTCATGGTAATCAAATAATCTGCACCAAACCAGAATGATTCAGATTTGGTTCAATTAGTTTCAACCAACTCATCTATTTAGACATAAAAAAAATTATTCAATTAGCTATGTATAAAATCAAACTGAAAATAAAAAAACTAATGGTTATCACCTACCCTAACGATTGGTAATTAAATTTTAAAAAGCTATTTGAAACAAGTCAAAATAGATCGATTCAATTTGATTTTCACATTAGACATGAATATCGTTGACCCCTGCTTTTCTAAAGCTGAGTAATGATCTATTTTTCGATTTTAAACTAACATAATTCCAAACTTGAATCGGTTTTTACTTTTTAGTCCAACATCACCAGGTGTTTGATCAAAAGCCCAATAAGAAATTTGGGCCAGAGTGTCAAAATCCAATCCTCCCACAACCTTAATTTACATGATTGAATGAGGTTCACAAAGATGGGCCAGTCCTTTTCAATATAGTCTGCTCTTCCATTTTTTGAAAACTTCCACGCATGGACAAAATTGTTCAATTTGTATGTTTGGAGAAGTTTGTAAATTTTTACAATATAAAAGGATAATGAGCCCTTTCAAGTTTTGTCACATAGTAAAACTTGCAAGCGACTGATTGTCTTTGTCATTACTTTTTGCGTGCTGCTTTATCATTATTTTAAGAGCCAGCTTGTGCTTGTGTTGTGCTTGATTGCCAAATGGCTTAGTTAATATTAATAGAAATTAATTGATGAATGATAACCTTTGATAAAATTTTTGATAACCGTTACTGTTAAAATGTAAAATAATTATTAAATGGATAATTATCTTTAAATATTATAGTAAAAATAATTTAATTAAAATGGATAATTATCTTTAAATATTAACTATATATTATATATAATATATTAATATTTTTAAATATTACATATTATTTTTTAATTTTAAACATATTATATAAAATTAAAAACATCAAAAATCAATCAGAATTGATATTGTCATTTGTAAAGAAAAATGAGAAGGTCTTAAGTTCTAATCATTGAGTGATTAGAAAGTTAGCTAAACAGTTATAACCTAACTATTAACAATATGAATTAACTTATAGTTACCATAAATTAGCTGAATCAAACGCTATTTAAGAGTGGTTTATTTAATACTATTGTGGGAGAATCATGTAAAATTCCCATACAAACCAATGTTTTCCCTTAACATATATAATTTTTAATATTACATATTATTTTTTAATTTAAACATATTATATAAATAAAAACATCAAAATCAATCAGAATTGATATTGTCATTTGTAAAGAAAAATGAGAGGTCTTAAGTTCTAATCATTGAGTGATTAGAAAGTTACTAAACAGTTATAACCTAACTATTAAATATGAATTAACTATTAGTTACATAAATTAGCTGAATCAAACGCTATTAGAGTGGTTTATTTAATACTATTTGGAGAATCATGTAAAATTCCCATACAAACCAAAATGTTTCCCCTTAAAAAGAAAGAAGATGATTAGCTAGATTGATTTCAATATTTTATAATATAAAAGGCAAAAGGACCACAAACTGCTCCAGTTGCTTTGGAAATTACCACTTGACAAGTAGCAATTAATATTTTATGCCATAGTTACCATGTATTAGGGTTAGGGTTAAGCCATGTGCCAATGCAACATGCAATTGTATATTTAGAATATGAACTTATTTTCAGATTGTAATATAATTTTAATGATTTCTTATGTCGTTTTGGATAAATGTCCTACATCCAAAATTAAAATAAGTGCATGTGTCTAAAAGAGGGTCACTACATGCGACATGGTTGTCAAGCAAAGGCCAGCTAAGCACAACCTGCGAGCCATTCGTAAAGGAAAGTCTTCCCTACATTTGCACGCTCCTAATAAATTTAATTTGTAATATAAAAAATAGTTAGAAGGTTAACAAATAATTTTACTTAATTATGAGTAATAAAATTATAAAATATTTTTTTAAAAAGGTTTTTTACATTAAAAATTGATTTTTTTTTTATTTTGGAGGGCCATGGCACCTTTTGGTCCTGGCCTGCGTCCGCCCTGTGTACGGTACATCACATGGGGCGCGAAGCTGAGAATAACAAAAAGGACAAAAGAGGAAATTCCACGCAAGCCACATTTCAGTCTACTACAACGAACATACAAACAAACAATACACGTATGGAGATAACTACCAATCTTTGGCTTCCACGTAGACTTCCCTCGCGCTGGAAGTTTCCAACGCTCAAACGAACGTTTAGAACGGTGGTTTGGTCATAATTTTATAATAATGATAAATAATAATATGACTGTTAGAGACTGAATAGTATGAGATCTCTCTCTCTCTGCCCCGGTGCCTCCGAGAAAAACTCAAGGGAAATCCACAATACGGACTAGTTTGTTCCGTCTTTTATAAAATATATTAAAATTTTTTTAAATTTATTTTCCTGAAATTAAAAGATTAAATTTTTATAATTTTTTTATTGAGTATTTTATAAAATAACGTAAATATCTTTTTTATTTTTAAAAATATAAAACGAATTAATTATATTTTTCAAAATATAAAAATTACATCATAAATTTTCTGATATAATATTTTAATAACTTTCTTCCTATCTATGTATTTTTTTATTGATTTAATTTAATTGGCGAAATTGGTGGGCAAACCGATCGACAATGACTAATTGAAGGAGAGAGTTGGCAAAAGAATAAATTTTAAAAAACACCACAGAGCGATTAAAAATAATTAAAAAATACATTTTTTTTAACTAGACAATTAAAAATAGCTTCAAAAAAAACTAGACGATTAAAAATCAACAATATTTAATATTTTAGATTTTATTACTTTTTTAAAAATATATATATCTATTGAGCTCATGTCAATCTGATAAAAATTAGATTAGTAAAAAATTAGATAGAAATTTACTGTAGTTAGCCCACAAGAATTTGTAAAAATGTTGTTAATTTGATATAATCTTATAATCGATAATAAAAATTTACTAAATATTTGGAATAATTTTTTACATTTTTTTATTTGAAAAATTTTTTTTTGGTAGTTTTATAAATTTTTAATGGATACTAAAAAAAAAACTTAATGGATACGAGAAAAAGAAAAAAAGAAAGAAAATAAAAAAAAAGAAAGTCCGCTGGAGTTCCTTGTATGTCCGGCTGACTGTATCATTACCCAACACTTAACTTGTCCACCAAAACCAGCTCTCCAACGCTGTCACAAACTCTTCCCCTTCAGAAAAATTAAAAAAGTAAAAAAAATTTCAATTCTCTACTTCCTCTTTCCTCTTCATTTCTCTATTTTTTTCTCCGTAATGTATTCTCTGCAAATGTTATTCAATTGAACATTTGAACTCAATACTCTGCTCAAAACCGAATAATAGACAAACACCATGTCAACGAATTCCATTAATGGAGCTGCCGACCAAGAATCACTTACAGTTCCGTTACTCACATCTTCTCGATCCATCACTAACTCTACTTCTCAAGTTGCTATCGTTGGAGCCAATGTCTGCCCTATCGAAAGCCTCGACTACGAGTAATCAGTCTTCATTATTAACTTGCTTCAAAACAAACGATTTCTTTCCTTTTGTTGAGGAAAAATTTTGAATCGGTTTTGTTTGTTTCGTTTATTGCAGAGTTGCTGAGAATGATTTCTTTAAGCAGGATTGGAGGACTCGAGGAAAGATCCAGATTTTTCAATACTTGTTTATGAAGTGGTCGCTTTGTTTCTTAATCGGAATCGTTGTTAGTCTTATTGGGTTTTTTAATAATCTTGCTGTTGAGAATATTGCTGGTGTGAAGTTTGTTGTAACTTCCAATATGATGCTCCATAATAGGTATGTAATCGATCTAGCTTTAGTTTTTGTTTGGTTTCCCCGAAAATAGACAGCTGCTTTGAGGTTTTAAGCGCGAGAGGATTATGATTCGAGTAGAGAATTGAAGATTTTACTGTTTCAAATTTTGCAGGTATTGGATGGCTTTTCTAGTGTTCTCACTATCTAATTTTGCTCTTACTCTGTTCTCTTGCATCATCACGGATTTTATTGCTCCAGCTGCTGCTGGTTCTGGTATACCAGAAGTGAAAGCTTACCTGAATGGTGTGGATGCACCGGGAATTCTTTCCGTGCGAACTTTGGTTGTCAAGGTAAGTAATTTATGAATTTGTTGTATGGGATAGCGTGTTAGGCATGATGATTTCTTTCGAGTTTTGTTGATAAGTGTAGGTTTAGTAGTTGTCTATTTTTGTCATTGTCAACCTCTTGACTCTTTTTGCTGTGTTCACACTGTTATGAGGATGATAGTCTAGCCTTAGATCCGAATACTTGACATTTCTGAAAGCATTTTACATTCTTAATGGCATTGCTATAGTGGTTTATTTATTTGGTTGACAAGGTTTTATATTTATATGTCTTATGAATTTTGAAAAAGCATTCCCCCTTCTTTTTAAAAATATTTTGCTTGATCTATTCTCAATATATTTTTATTTGTGAGTTGATTGAAGAATGACATTTAATACTTTGGCCCTTGATCTTCTTGGTATTGTAATATAGTACCAAGAATGAACTTGCACTATATGATATCTCATGTGTTGTGGGCATAGATATTATGTTTGAACTGGAATAGTTTGTGCACCACAATGGGGGTTGTGCTTGCAACTCCACCCACATTTCTTCTCCATGTTCATTTGATTCATCCAATTTTATCTATTACTAAGAATAAAAATTGAGATGCATACTGTTTCTATTGGAGCAAGGAGCATGTGTTGTTCATTTATGTTAATGCTATGCTCTTCAAGAAAAGAGGTCATTTTAAAATTAAATGCTGTCTATAAGGCGTGACTGTTTTTGTTGTTTCTTCTAAGGGATATTTCTTTAGGTGTCTTCAGACAATTTTTTTTTTCCCTGTGAAATTCTCTGCAAATTGAGCATTTCACCTTGCAAACTGTTCAATTGCATAGATTTTTTACGTAACTTACAACTAATATAAGAAAAATGTGTTATCCAAATAGTATGTGAAAGTCTCAAATTTGCTCATTTTGCAGATTATTGGAAGCATTTCTGCTGTTTCATCATCACTTCTTGTTGGAAAGGCAGGGCCCATGGTGCATACTGGTGCATGTATTGCATCATTGCTGGGTCAGGGTGGATCTAGAAAATATAAATTGACATGGAAATGGCTACGCTATTTCAAAAATGACCGGGATCGCCGAGATCTTGTAACATGCGGATCAGCTGCTGGAATTGCTGCTGCCTTTCGTGCCCCAGTCGGTGGTGTGCTGTTTGCTCTTGAAGAAATGGCTTCTTGGTATCTTTGTCACACGTTTAAAACCCAATAAATTGAACATTCTTGAGTCTTGTTTTTATTGTTGATATCTTGCATTTTCATGATTGCAAGGGTCTATAAGACACCATTTTCAGCTAAATACATAGACCAACATGTATATTCTTTTTTTTTTTTTGTTATTATTTTTTTAGATTTTTCTCTAACCATTTGTTTCCAATAATCTTCACATATTCAAGAATTAAATGGCTTGTCCACTCGAGCTTCATAATATGGTTTTCTGCATTTTCCCTTTGTTTAGTTACTTGACTGAAGTTACAAGATTTTCACAGTTTACCATTTATTGCCATTAATTATCAAGTTACTCATTTGTAATGTTGATCTTCCAATCATGTACATCTCATTGACAAGTCTTGGTTTTAAATCTGAATTGGTGCATTTCATTGATTATTCTTACTTTTAATTCTAAATTATCTCCACAGAGGCACTGTTCTCTTTAATATAACTCCTTTTAGCAGATGAATCAGAGTTAGATCCCCTATGAGTTACATCCATCCAGTTCCACTGTGGAAATTGCTTGAAGACAGTTTTGTTGTTACAATGTTAAACATTAATGCTAAGATTTTGTTATCCAGGTGGAGAAGTGCCCTTTTGTGGAGAGCTTTCTTCACAACAGCCATAGTTGCAATTGTGCTTCGGGCTCTAATTGATTTATGTTTGAGTGGCAAATGTGGGCTATTTGGTACTGGAGGGCTCATAATGTTTGATGTCTATTCAGCAAATGTTACATATCACCTCATTGACGTGCCGCCTGTGCTTCTCCTTGGAGTTATAGGGGGCATATTGGGAAGTTTCTATAATTTTCTTTTAGAGAAGGTTCTTCGGATTTACAATCTAATTTATGAGTAAGCTTCCTTTTCAGTTTTTGGTATTTGCACAAAATTTGTGTTTTCAGTGTTGGAAAATATTATTTCAGAATTCATTTTCCTTCTTCCATTTTTTTCCAGGAAAGGCACAATTTACAGAATTCTTCTTACTTGTTCAATTTCTATATTCACGTCCCTTCTTCTTTTCGGATTACCATGGCTGGCATCTTGTCAAACTTGTCCATCTGATGCACCAGAAGCCTGTCCAACAATAGGCCGTTCTGGCAACTACAAGAAATTTCAATGTACTCCTGGTCACTATAATGATCTAGCTAGCCTCATTTTTAACACAAATGATGATGCTATTAGAAATCTTTTCAGCAGGGACACTGATGAGGAGTTTCAATATTCTTCAGTTCTCATATTTTTTATAACATGTTACTTTCTTAGCATCATTAGTTATGGGGTTGTTGCTCCTTCGGGTCTTTTTGTGCCAGTTATTGTGACAGGTGCATCTTATGGACGTTTTGTTGGAATGGTAGTTGGTTCAAATTCCAGTCTTAATCACGGGCTCTTTGCTGTGCTGGGTGCTGCTTCATTTCTTGGTGGATCCATGAGGATGACAGTTTCTTTATGTGTTATCATCCTAGAATTGACCAATAATCTGTTGCTACTACCCTTGATAATGTTGGTTCTTCTTGTTTCCAAGACTGTGGCGGATGCTTTTAATCATAACATTTATGATATTATCATGAAATTGAAGGGTTTTCCTTATCTAGAAACTCATTCTGAGCCTTACATGAGGCAGCTGACAGTTGCAGATGTAGTTACAGGTCCGCTTCAGCTGTTTCATGGCATTGAGAAGGTTGGTAATATAGTACATGTTCTCAAAACAACAAGGCATAATGGATTTCCTGTAATTGATGATCCTCCGCTTTCTGAATCTGAGGTTCTGCTTGGGCTAATCCTCCGTGCTCATCTTGTTGAATTGCTAAAGAAGAAAGTTTTTTCATCTACTCCAGTGTCAATAAGCGCTGATGCCTTTAGTCAATTCTCAGCTGACGACTTTGCAAAGAGGGGCTGGGGTAATGGTGACAAGATAGAGGATATAGAAATTACTGAAGAAGAGATGGAGATGTTCTTAGATTTACATCCTTTCACTAATGCTTCGCCTTATACTGTTGTGGAGACGATGTCTCTGGCCAAGGCTCGCACACTCTTTCGGGAAGTTGGTTTAAGGCACCTGCTGGTGATACCCAAGATATCTAGTGTAAGTACTTCTATCCTATCTCTCTTCTGTTTGCAGATTTGGGGCATTTGGAGGGTTATTGTTTTGATTTGATCTGCCAACATCTTGGCAGTTCTCCTCATGTTTAGTCCTCCCCCTTGATCTTGTATCTGCCTTTAGATACGAGATCTTTCCAAGTTTTGTTTTAGTATTGTTATTCAAGTTCCTATCTTTTCTGTTGCAAATTATATGCCTGTGCTGAAAATTTCAGAAAACATTGAAAAAAAAACCTGAATTGCTTCAACAGTTGTTTGATTCCCCTATTAACCATTTCTAATTTGCATGTAACTAATCAGTTCCATGCATGTGGAAATTGGTTTCTTATAATAGACAAATGGTGGATTTTTCTTTTAAATAATATCCTTTCTTGATGTTATAATTTTGTGGATTTTTCTGTTCCTTAATGTTAATGCTTCTTAATTGCAGAGGTCCCCTGTTGTAGGCATATTGACAAGGCATGACTTCATGCCAGAACATATACTGGGTTTGCACCCTTTGCACATTGGGAGCAGATGGAAAAGACTAAGAATCAGACTGCCCCATTTATTTAAAATTTTCTAAGGTATGTCTTGCATGTACTGGGTGTACACTTTCCCGATCAGGAGCAGCACAGGTGGAAAAGCATCTTGCTGTTTATTTCGCTTAAAAGCACCTAGGTGTCTCAATCAAGTATTGGAGGTTGTGCTTAAAAATGAGGTAGCAGTCCTATTTGAGCTCCAAAATACACTTTGAGCTTCCTCGAATAAAACAACCAGAAACAAAGAAGATCAGATGAGGAGTATCATGTTAAAGCATCAGACTGCTTATAAGTAACACAACGAGATGAGGTAAGTCATTGTGTCAAGAAAATTTGTTGGAACAAACTTTGCCGTACTGAAATATCTGTACTTTATTTCAAACACAAAATTTTCAAAGTTAACTATTTGTTCATATTTTTAGAAAAAGCATTTGAACCCTTTTTGAATACAGCTGCATTGCTACTATTATCACTACCATTAGATTTTTGAGTCACTTTGAGATTGAGGTTGAAATTACTTTGCTCGTGAAATCAGTATTTTAGATGCTGTTGGAAGGAAAAAAAAAAAAACCTCGAGTTGTGTAGCTTTTGTGAAGCTTTAACACACAGGCTCTTCTCATTATTAACTCAAGCAGACTATATATGGTGTTATATAAATCTTCTCCAGTGTTTTGTTGATTGTTGGTGATTAGGTCAGCATTAATGTTGTTAATTGTGATGTTTTGCACTCAACTAGTAATGTGGAAGGTTCTGTTTCTTCATTTGGACCAGCATTGCTGGCATATTTAATTTTTCTGTTCTGTTGAATCAATGATATCTGGAGTCTGACTTACCATCATCGCTGCTCGTTGCGGGGCGATACAATTCTGAACCACCCAATTGCTAGCACCGCGAATACGACAATGCACATGCTACCAGCCTAGCACCATGACTTTTATTGAGAAAATATTACTGTTGTCTTTTTTTTTTTTTTTTTTTGATATGTTTGGTGATTAAAGGTCAGCATTAATGTTGTTAATTGTGGATGTTTTTGCACTCAACTAGTAATGTGGAAGGTCTGTTTCTTCACTTTGGACCAAGCATTGCTGCATATTAAATTTTTCTGTTCTGGTTTGAATCAATGAATATCTGGAGTCTTGACTTACCAAATCCAATCCGCTGCTTACGTTGCGGGGCGATACAATTTCCTGAAACCCACCCAATTGCTAGCACCGCGAATACGAACAAATGCAACCATGCTTACCAGCCTGCAACCATGACTTTTATTGAGAAAAATATACTAACTGTTTGTTCTTTTTTTTTTTTTTTTTTGAAAAGAGATTAACTGTTGTCCCTTTTTTTTTTTTTTTTTTTTTTTGAAAGAGATTACTGTTGTCTTTTAGGAAGTGACTTTTTATAGAATGTGGGATGAACTCAAATGGATGACATTATTGACACAGCTAAAAACTGTTTGGTTCTAGATTGACAGAATTAGACTGATCAATTCAATTAAATCCTGCTTTCTGCTTAATCATTCTTTTATAGTTTATAGATTCGGTCTTGAAAACTGGTATGTAATTCGCAAAGAATTATCTGGGGTGCAAATCCCAGGCAAAAAAGAGCTTACAATTTATATCAAGGTTGCATATTCTGGGCGCAGACTGAATAATATATGTATACAATGTATATGAACTTGCAAGCTTGACTTGGTAATAATAGCTCATCTTTCAACTGGGCAATAAACTCAAACTCAAGGTTGGATTGAGTCCTACTCACAAATCCCAATACTCTTTAACAGAATGGTATTAAAATGGGATTATTTTATTTAAATCATAGTTTTAATTATGGAAATTGAATTGTAAAACAAAGGGGACGAGTGGCATTAAATGGAAATATTATAAGAAAGCTACCAATACATACGATTGTTATTTACGAGAGATAAAATAAACACTTTTCTTTTTTTTTTTGCCTTTTTGAGGGTATAATATATATAATAAACACCACAAGAAAAAAAATTTTATGATCAGAAATAATTTATAAGAACATAATATTTTGAACAAAACTAAATTGAGAGAGAAAGTATATTAATGATTTATGAATTCTCTATTTCACTACTTTCATATTTTTCTCAAAAAAAAGGAAAAAGAAAAAAATGAATCATGGTTTTTTTGACATATTGTACTAAATTTATTTCTCTGATTTTATTAATATAATAAATTATCTATTTTAATTTTATTAAAAAACAAACTTTAATGTTGTGAATAGAAAACGTGAATCATGTTATAAGAAAAGGACAAAAAAAAAAAAAAAAAAACTTGCATGGCAATCATAGAAAACGTGGGAATCACATGTTGATAAGAAAGAACGGACAAAGATGAAGATAAAAAAAAAAAACAAGTATAAAGTTGTGCGGTTGGTAACCCGAAAGCTGGTTAATACGCTATAAATCGACTAGATCATGGTTTTTTTTGACACAATATGTATAAATTACATTTCTCTGGATTTTTTATTAATCAAATAAAATCTATTTTAATTTTAATTAAAAACAAACTTTAATGTTGGTAATGAGAAAGAGTGAATTGTTTAACAGAGGAAAAAAAAAAACATATGTCGGTTGGACCTAAACTGTTAATTCTATAACAAAAAAAATTTGAAAGTCATATATGAGCTTTAACTGAATGCACAGTTAGTTGATTGAGTATTAACTCCCTAGCCTTTGCAAAACGAAAAACAAACAGTTCACATCTGCGCGTGTATAAAGATATGGCCATTTAATGTTGAATTTCTCAATTCCATTTCATAACCAACAAAAAAAAAAAAAAAAAAAAAAAAATGGAAGCTATCATTTGCTACCCATTTCTCCTTCACTTGCCTGCAACTTCTTATGCATTACCCGCGTACACTATCTACCTTTGTTATGGTAAAAAAAAAAAAAAAAAAAAAAATGAAGCTATCATTTGCTACCCTTTCTCCTTCACTTGCCTGCACTTCTATGCATTACCGTACAATCTTACCTTTGTTATGGTCTACGCCAAAAATCAATCAGAGCCGATTTAAGTTATTTGCATCCGCTTCCAACATGTTCCATGGCAACATGCTCCATGGGAAAAAAAGACGATCCGCAAATTATCATCCTACTATTTGGAATTTTCAAATTATCGATTCTTTATCAACTCCTTATACTGTAAGTAATATTATTCATTTAATATACTTTTTCAAAAAATTTTAATTATTTTGAAATTTTTGTGATGATCAAATTTAATATATAATCAATTTTTAACTGTCATTAATTAATATTTTTAATAATATAAAAAATGGAAATTTTAGAAAAAAAAAATATTTTTTTAATCCAAATCTAAAATTAACTAATTGATTGAGGGTTTTATTCAAAAAGCTTAGTTTTGTGACAAATTAACTTTTAGCTTGTCGTGTAGTATGAATTACATGCCACCCAATTGGAAGAGTTGAAGCATCAAGTAAGAACCTTATTACTTGACTCCACTAAAGAACCTTATGTCCAGTTGAAGCTAATAGACTCAATACAGAGACTAGGAGTTGCTTACCATTTTCAAGTTGAGATTAAAGAGACTTTGATGGATCTTTCTAGACTTGATCTATCTGTTTCTGGGGATCTTAACACAATTGCTTTGCACTTTCGGCTTTTACGCGAACATGGCTTTCCAGTTAGTTCAGGTATATATATATATGTGTGCACGCACGCTTGCTCATGTATTCAAATGACAAAACCGTATTATAATTAGCCCAAAGTCGCTTTTTTATGGTGTTGCAGGAGCTTTTGATAAATTCTGTTATGAAGATGGGAAATTCATGGACAATTTAAAGGAGGATGCGAAAGGGCTATTGAGCTTGTATGATGCTTCACATCTTGGAATGCTTGGTGAAGATGCTTTAGAAGAAGCCAACCACTTTAGCACTAAAAATCTAAAGTTATTACTGGGGAAACTACAAGACAACTATATGGCTGAGCAAGTTCAACAAGCACTGGATGTTCCTCTCCATTGGAGGATGTTAAGGTTAGAGGCCAGAAATTTTATCAATGTCTATGAGAAAGATGATACAAGAAATTTGTTTTTGCTAAGACTAGCTAAGTTGGATTATAATTTGGTCCAATCTGTGTATCAAGGAGAGCTAAAGGAGCTGGCAAGGTAATATATTATGTTATTTGTGTATCAAAATTAAGTTTTTAAATAAATTTTAATAGGAACTTTCCTGATAAAAAATATGTTATTTGTCTAATTATTATAGGTGGTGGAAAGACTTGGGATTTGGAGAAAAGCTAGATTTTGCAAGAGATAGATTGATGGAGAATTATTTATGGGCAATGGGAATGATCTTTGAGCCACATTTCTCCAAATCTAGAATTTCTCTCACTAAATTAGTCTGCATTTTAACTGCAGTTGATGATATGTATGATATATATGGATCGTTGGATGAGCTCCAGATATTTACAAATGCAATTAATAGGTATTTTCTTTCTCTTTTAACCTTTTGATATTACAATTAAGGGATTTCACAAGCTTATTTTTCACTCTCAAATAAGTTCATTTACATCCACAATTTAATCAATGAAAAATCGTAACTAAAAGGATATCTTTATATCTTCTCGTTGGAGTTTTGCAACTATATTAATTAAATAAATAAGTAAATAATTTTTCAATTTATTATGATACATAATAATAATAATAATAATATCATTATTATTTATAAAAAAAAAGCATAATCGTTGTTTTATTTATAAAAAAAGCACTAAATCTAATAATTAATTTCAATATATATATAATGCTCTAATCCTTGAATTCAATACAGATGGGACATTGGGGCCATTGAGGAACTTCCAGAATACATGAAGATATGCTATTTTGCAATTTATAATTTTGCAAATGAATTAGCTTATGGTGTAATGAAGGATTCAGGATCCAATATTCTACCCTACCTCAAGAAAGAGGTAATTATTAGTTAAACCATTTATATATTATGACTCAAAAGCTAATAATCTCACATTTCTCTTTACTAATACCTAATTAACTTGTAATTATTAATTACAAATAAATCATTAATCATGTGTTTGATTATGGCAGTGGACAAATCTTTGTAAATCATATTTAGTAGAAGCAAGGTGGTTTTGCAGCAACTACACTCCATCGTTGGATGAATACCTTGAAAATGCATGGATCTCTATCGGTGGCCTTGCTGCAATTGTTCACTCTTATATGTTATTAAGCTCAAAAGATTCAATGGATTGTTTGAATCATGTTTCAGAGCTTATTTACCGGTCATCCTTAATCACTCGACTTACAAATGATTTAGGAACTTCTATAGTAAGTATTTCCTTCTGTTTACAAAATATAAGTCTTTTAAAATTATTGTAGTTGACTTAAATTATAATCAAAATTCATTAATTTAATTAAATTATCCTTTAAAATATTTTAGAGATAATTATCGAATTGAGAGTAAAAACTCTTTGATATTCTCAACACGACTTGTATTTGTAGAAAACATTACTATAAAATGACTTATATTTATAGACAGAGGGCATCGAAGCACTAAATTTTCTTTTTTTTTTTTTTTTTTTTTTTTTCAGATTGAGAGTAAAAAAACTCCTTTGATATTCTCAACGACGGATTGTCTTGTAGAAAACATTACTTAAAAGAACTTAATGATTTATAGACAGAAGGGCATCGAAGCACTAAATTTCTTAATTTTTTTTTTTTTTTTTTTTTTTTTTTTTTTTTTTTTTTTTTTTTTGATCCTCACAAAGGCGGAAAGCAAGAGAGGTGATGTAATAAAATCAATCCAATGCTATATGATAAAAGAAAATGCAAGTGAAGAAGAAGCAAAGGAGCACATAAAGGGTTTAATAAGGCATTCTTGGAAGAAATTGAATGAAGGGATTGACAATAAGTGTTCTCTTATGAACTTGTTATGTCTTAACATGGCAAGAACTTCTCAATGCATCTTTCAATATGGAGATGGCATTGGAACATCAATTGGGATTACTAGAGACCGTTTAACCTCATTGATTATTCAACCCATTTCAATATGTTGACTATTTTTAATTATTTTTATTTTGATGTTTGAGTAGAAAATATTTAAATTGAGTGTCTAAAATAATAATAAAAAAAGTTATATGGAAGTGACTCTCTTGGTTATGTTTTATTGAATTCATTTGAAAATAATTTTTTATTCAATTCAATGTAACATTATGCTATTATGCTACTATTAATTTAATGATCAAAACTCAAAAAGATGAAGTGTTGCGTATTATTTATTTTATTTTAATTAAAAAATTATAATAAAATTAATTAAGACACTTATGAAATTTAGATTTGAAATAAAACTAAAACGGAGCACATAACTCCTCCTCTAAGCTGGGTTACTATATCATAATACCCTGAATTTTATAAGTTTTTATAATTTCACTCTATTTTTTATCTTTTATGGCAATAACATCCTCAATTATAATTAAAGATCAAATTGCAAATAAAAAAATATTTTCATTATTTTTAATCATCATGTGACTCTGATAAAAATTAAAAGATAAGAAGTCGAAACAAATATCTATTAGTCTAAATAAATAATGTTGCATAGATTAAATTTTTAATTTTTAATTAAATGTACTAATTAATAATGTAATAACATAAACTTCTATTACTTACCAAAAAAAAAAAAATCCCAAGCATGCATAAAAATTAAATTAATAAAATATTATTCTTCAATTACATATTTTATTTTATATTTATCTATATTTTAAGGATGAAAAATCCTAATTATGGTAATTTTTTATTAATATATAGCGAAATTATTATCCATTTAATAAAAGATAAATTACTATAATTATGGGTTAGGAAGTTATCACACAACAACAATTTATTTAAATCTTATAATTGTTACAATTTTTTTCTCAATAAATCAATTTCATATTTTTTTTTAAAAGGTCCTTTTTTTATATGGCTCCATTTCACTCTTTAGCTTAATTTTCTTGGGTTCATTTATTCATTGGCACTGATACTTAATTAGTTCTTTTTTCTTTTTGCCATCAAAATGAAACAAAATAATTTTTAAAATAACACAAGGGCTCACTTTTTGGCTCGAGCTTCTTGTTATCAAGCTAGTTTCCAAGTATGGAATCTGTCCCTACTTGTTTGTATTCTGAATATTTTGATTTATGAAGTTATTTTCTTTCAAATATATATACTGAAATATTTTGATTTATGAAGTATTTTTCTTTTCAAATATATATATATAATAAATATATATATATAGATACCTTGTGTTTACTGCATGAATTTTTTCTTCAACTCCAATCCTAAATATAAAAATTAAGAGTTAATATTATATTTAAACTTATTCTATTATGACTTAGAAAATAAAAGAGAGAGTTTGAAAAATTTTGTCATTTTGTAGCAATGAAAAAGCAAAAAACTGCCATGGTAAAAACAGAGTATCCTTGTTGCCAAAATGGTGAAACTCTGAAAAAAGCAAAACTGCCATTGGTAAAAACAGAGAAAGCGTCCGGGGTCGTTGCTGCACAATGGACTGTAAAAATCTCTGCTTCAATAATCAAAAAAAAAAAGGACACAGTATCAATATCAACAGAACAAATAAGAAATATAACTATTAAATATTCCTATAAAAACTCATGCTAAACAGTTCTCCTCTTAACATCTCAAATCAGCTAGTTTTTTCTTTTTTTTCTTTTTTCTTTGTTGTCTCCTCTCCTCTCCTCTCTGAGTTTGAAAATAAATGGATCCAGAAATTGGAGTTGGTGAGATAATAAGAATGTTCTGTGGTATTATTGGGCTATTTCTCAGTTCCGCCGCATATATTGCTTACTTGGTTTCCAACATTCGTGACAACCATGTCAATTTCTTCAACGTGGTTACTCATGTGGCTGTTTCCTCTTTGTTTATTTTACAAGCTCTCATTTATTTAAGACATACTCATCTTCTCGATTTTATTATAAAAAAACAAGGATGGAAAGGCAAAACATGTTTTTATGCGATTGTAGGCTTTGTTAATTTTCTGTTTTGTTTTTATACACAACCTGGTCCGCATGCAGTCCTCATTTTGGCATTGATGTCCTTTTCTTCTTTCTTGTTTTTCTTGACATTTCGTACTGAAACTAATATTGGCTTTACAGAGATGTTTCTCAGTTTGCTAATAACCCATTCATTTCTCGCTTTTAAGTCTCTAGTTAACAAAGTCAAGTTTTGCCCTTTCATTAAAACTCCCTTAGAAAACAAAATTACGAAGCAAAACTTTCCATAAAACTCCTTAGAAAACAAAATTACGAAGCAAAATACTTGAACTTTTGTTTTTTGGGATGGGATTTTGCTTCGTAATTTTGTTTTCTAAGGGAGTTTTAATGAAAGGGCAAAACTTGACTTTGTTAACTAGAGACTTAAAAGTGAGAAATGAATGGGTTATTAGCAAACTGAGAAACATCTCTGTAAAGCCAATATTAGTTTCAGCACGAAATGTCAAGAAAAACAAGAAAGAAGAAAAGGACATCAATGCCAAAATAAGGACTGCATGCGGACCAGATTCTGTATAAAAACAAAACAGAAAATTAACAAGGCCTACAATCGCATAAAAACATGTTTTGCCTTTCCATCCTTGTTTTTTTATAATAAAATCGAGAAGATGAGTATGTCTTAAATAAATGAGAGCTTGTAAAATAAATAAAGAGGTAACAGCCACATAAGTAACCACATTGAAGAAATTGACATGGTGTCACGAATGTTGGAAACCAAGTAAGCAATATATGCCGCGGAACTAAGAAATAGCCCAATAATACCACAGAACATTCTTATTATCTCACCAACTCCAATTTCTGGATCCATTTATTTTCAAACTCAGAGAGGAGACAACAAAGAAAAAAGAAAAAAGAAAAAACTAAGCTGATTGATTGTGTAAGAGAAGAACCGTGTTAGCACGAGGTTTTTATAGAAATATTTAATAGATTGTATTTTCTTATTTGTTTCTGTTAATATTGATACTGTGTCCTTTTTTTTGATTTCTTATTTGTTCCTGTTAAATATTGATACTGTGTCCTTTTTTTTTTTTGATTTGAAACAGGCAGAGATTAGCATGTCCTGTGGAGCCGGACTGGGACAAAGGATCAACGACGCCTCCTTTAAACGTTTGTGGACGTGGGACGCCTCCCTTTAACGTTTGTGGAGTGGTTTGTACAGAGACCAACGACGCCTCCCTTTAACGTTTGTGGAGTGGTCTGTACAGAGACCAAAGACGCCGCCCTTTAACGTTTGTGGATTGGACTGTACAGAGACCAACAACAGAATGTTTTGTTGATGGAGATCACTGAACTATTACTGGTTCTAAAACTAAACTAGACACTGTGAGATGCATACTGTTTCTGTTGGAGCAAGGAGCATGTGTTGTTCATTTATGTTAATGTTATGCACTTCAAGAAAAGAAGTCATTTTGAAATTAAATGCTGTCTGTGTATAAGGCGTGACTGTTTGTGTTGTTTCTTCTAAGGGATATTTCTTTAGGTGTCATCAGACAAATTCTCTGCAAATTGAGCATTTCATCTTGCGAAGTGTTCAATTGCATAGATTTTCTACGTAACTTACAACTAATATAAGTATAAGAAAAATGTTTTATCCAAATAGTATGTGAAAGTCTCAAATTTTCAGCGAAAAATACATATTCTTCTTTTTGTTAGATTTTTCTTTAACCATTTGTTTCCATTAATCTTCACATATTCAAGAATTAAAGTGCTTGTCCACTCGAGCTTCATAATATGGTTTTCTTCTGAAGTTACTCGTTTGTAATGTTGATCTTCCAATCATGTACATCTTATTGACAAGTCTTGGTTTTTAAATCTGAATTGGTGCATTTCATTGCATATCCTTACTCTTATGATAGACAAATGGTCTGACTCTTAGAGCTCACTACCTACTAAATTACGAGAAAAACAATAAATTGGATCTTTTGATTTATACTCAAATTAACATACGATAATTTTTATTTTTAAAAACTAATTATAAGGTCTCTAACTTCTAATTCCGTTAAAATATTAATCCTTCTGTAAAAAATATCTTATTTTAACTATCAATTGACCAAGAAATTAGCCTATAAATTACAGTCAAACTAAATATAAAGTCCCTAATTT